ATATTGCGCGTCACAAGCATCTTGACATCCTTGCCCACAGTCCGGTCTTTGGTAACTCGGACTATCTTCTGAAGTTTTGGCTGTATAAAGTTTAAATGGGTATCCTGAGTTATAATCTGGTTGTAGATTATTGCATGTATAGCATGGAATCGGGATTGACCCAACAGGAGAATAAGAACTGTATCCTTGAGATGGATTATTAGGTTGAACGCAGATATTGTTGCATGTAGGAAGAGGAGCGATTGAAGGGGTGGATGTTGGTTTTGATGTTGAGGTTTGGATAGTGGTGGGACAGGTGTAGATACTTGTTTTTACACTGATAACTGGGGGCGTATAGCCTGCTGGAGGATGTCTGGATTTACATCCAGTATTTGAACAAGAAGATCCAGGACAATAGCTCCCACAATAAGATTCAATTTCCTGACACCAAGAGGAGAATTGTAAACATTGAAGGGATCCAGGGAATCCAGCGGACAAAAGACAGGATGTCAGTTGTACGAGACAAGTATTTGCAGCAGCCAAACAAGAATTTTGATCGATGAAGGGAGGGAGGGGATTAGAACACCAGTTTCCAACTTTATATTCGCAGGTTGGAGTTGGAGTTGTTACAATAGTAGTAGTGCATATTGTAGCACTAGTTTTTGATGTAGTCGGAGAGGCAGTAGTGGATGGCTGTGTGGATGATGTGGATGTCGAGGGTAAAATCGGAGTTGTCGAGGATGTTGGAGCAACTGAAGATACTGAAGATGAAAGATATGTTGTGGTCGAAGATTGAGGAATAGTGGAAGGCGAAAATAGCGAAGAAATCGTGGAGGAAGTTATAGAGGAAGATAATGTTGGGGAAGTTGGTCCTGCTGTCGAGGAAGGTGATGACGATGGAGGAGTAGATAGAATTGATGACTACAAATTACCAAACTCAGTACAAGCATTTCAAATGAATTCTTTCATAAGAGATGAGTAGTCGATGCAGTATTCGATGGTAGGAAGAATTCCCAACATGAAGATGAAATTGAAAGTTCATTTGGGAGAGAGGCACTGAATGGAAAGGAGTGAAAGGTTCATGTCTGAATTCAACTTACCGATGATAGCGGAGGAGTAGATGAAGGAGTTGAGATCGGGGAAGAAGATGCAGGAGCTGAATATGTGGTTGGTTGCGATGAGGAATATGACGGAGAAATAGGTGTGAAAGACGAGGATAAAGCGGTCGATGAAATAGACGACTAGATGTTTCAGAGTCAGTATTATTCTATTAACAAAAAGTTCCAGGAAAGGATAATGAGTCAGAGCTCTATAGAGGATAAAGGAATTGTGTAAGATAACATGTGAAGAGAAGTGATGGCTATCTGAGATTAGAGAATTTGAAGTATCAAACTGATTAATCTTACTGGCGAGGAGGCCGGCGACGAGGAAGAAGCCGACGATGAAGGACCAGATGAGACTTGGGACGAGGAGGAAGAAACTGAAGCGAATGAATACGACGATGAAGTGGAACTTGAGAGAGTTGACGAGGAAGAATGCAGGGAAATCAACGTTGACGAAGACGATAGAGCAGCTGATGAAACCGATGACTGCAGATTTCAGGAGTCAGTATCTATTTATCAGGAAATTCTTTCATGCGAAATAAAATCAGGAATGGATTAAGAGTTCAAGTGGTGATATGATATAACGTTTCAGAAAGATTCCATCATGAGGATTAGACTCACCGATGAGGATGCTGGTGCAGATGAAGTCGGTGAGGAAGAAGACGAGACTGGAACCGATGAATAGGTAGATGAAGATACCGGAGCAGAAAAGTAAGGAGGCGGTGTATAAGGCGGAGGCGTATATGGTGGAGGCGTATATGGTGGAGGTGTATATGGTGGAGGTGTATATGACGTTGGAGAATAATATGGTGTGGAAGCTGGTGCAGATGAGCTAGTATCACTTGACGAAGAAGAAGAAGAAGTCGAGCCAGATGAACTCAACGTTGAACTAATAGTTGTTCCAGTTGACGAAGATACTGGAGCAGAAGCAGAAGCAGAAGTAGATGGAGAAGATGAACTGGTGGAAGAAGATACTGGGCCGCCTGGATTACCATTGCAAGGATCCGTTGATAGCAAGTCCTCGGCGACGTAAAGGTAGATATTTGCTGCACCACCACATAACTCGGTGGTATTACCATTACAAGTCATTTGACAATATGATTCATCAACTTTTGCGGTTCCGTTACCGAGTACAACACCACAGTAACATTCTTGTGAGTATTCAACTCCAGCAAAAGCATACCCTCCTTCTTTGCATGCATGAAGACAAGCTTCGATTGTTAAATCAACGTCGGGAATTTGATCTTGTTTCCATGCAAGGGTACGACCATTGGGCCCAAGATCGGAATAACATCCCATTGGTTGGTAATCAGAAATGGTGGTACTATCGACAGTTGGGAATGTGGTATCTTGGTAGACTGAGAGAATGTCATTGCCACCGCACGATTCAGTATTATCTCCAGTACATGGAAAAGAACAATTTAATTCAGATGTTTGTGGGCCACCGACAGAAGCGCCGCAAAAGCATTCGCCATAGCTTCAAATGAGTCAGTCATCGTTCAGGTCTTCAAGAGGAAATTATAGCCGTCTATCGTTGGTAAGTTTCGAGTTATTGCACCTGCACTCACTATTCTAATCCCGCATATTTATATCCATTACCTATGATAAATTAATAACCATTCAATAAACGACAAATTTCAAAGACTTTACCTTTACAGAAATCAACACAAATTTCAACTGTCATGTTTTGACTATTGAGATCGGTCCTGAATAACAAAGCACTTGGGGAGCTTGGATCTATGAAACAGCCCGCGTAAACAAAATCCGTGGTGTTTGTACATGTAGGAAGCTCTGGTGCCCATCTTTCAGCCAGTAAAGGACCAGCATTGGTGCCTAAAAAGAGTGCAGTCGTTGCCATTGCAATCGAGAGCGAGGTGAAGCTCAACATCTCAGATAACGATGAGATTAACAAAAACAAAATACTGGTGAGCAATATGTGTCAAAAGAAAACTGAGATTACTGGAACCACTCTGAATATGAAGAAGAATAAAGTTTGGACATGGACTGAGACAATATATACCTATTCCGCACTGAGAAACCATGGTGGCAAAGATAAGGTCTTCATAGAGACAAAACCGGTGTTCATTTGTGCCAGCAACCAAAGATGTTTGTGCAAAATGATACATTTGGTTATTCCCAGTAGCAAACACAACATTATTTGCAGATAAAATCGCGTGGCGCATGCATGGTAACTATGCAATTCTTGATGTTGTGAGCTTTAGATGGTATGATAGCAAAAAGGTCTAGACAAGAAGACAATAGCTGACTATAAAATTCCGAAGAATGCACACTTACTCGGATTTGCGGCAACCCGAAAAGGTTGCAGATATACTTCCACGCTATATTGTGTATGTCTATGTTGGTGAGATTATCGTGGATTATCACGAGTGGAAAATTTTGATGGTTTTGGGACCAAAGGCGCGATAAAGTTTTCTCCCCGACACCATTTGTAGAACATACTTAAGCATATTACTGATTTTACACTCTTCGGAGGAATTGAATAAGCTCGATCATGACCGATGGTTCATGACAGCTTGACATATATGTGGAAAAGCCTTGAGTTTATTATTGATCCTTTCTGGGAAGCATTGAAATCGACCAGAACATTAAAGTAACATTATCTTCCCAAATCAATTGAACTTGTCCGTTTTAGTCAGGAACGTTAGCATCAGATGTCCGACTTGAGATGAAAACCTTGTTGTGAATGTAACCATATGATGTTGAAAACTTTGTAGGTACCTCGACCTATCCACTTGGAACTATTGAAATGAAGGGAGCTTTTGCGTATCTTTGTGCGGCTGACATGTAGAGTATTGGGGATTGGTACATTTTGTCCTTTCATATGTATGCTACCGTGAACACAGTAATGAGAGTTTGATATGAAATGAGAGGAATGACAAATTTGTTTCTAGTTGAGGGGGAACGAATACCAATTGACTGAATCTTTGTTGGATACCTTTTAATCTTGAAAAACCGCTACTTCACTCGAAGAGGCTGAACATGTCTCCTAAGTGGCAACTTGTACTGTGCGCGGAGAGAATATTTGTAGAACTTCGTTGAACCATGCATGAAATCTTCTCCACACTCAAGGGATCTCAATTTGCTGCTGCTGTGTAAGCCCGCAGTACTACTGGAGTATCATCAACTTCGTATCCCAAGATTCTTCATTCGCTTTAGAACTTTCGTAAATTGGTTCGGGCCGTCAAGTGTAGATATCCTTATGCGGGTATCGTGCATCTATTTGTGCACCGTAACGCGTCCACGAAAATAAGGGCTGAAGTTGTTTGGATCGTGATCAAGCTTTGAATCCGGAACTTTTCGTGTGTTTAAACTGGGTGCGCGGGTTAAAGATACGAAAAGGGGCCTCCCTGAATTGAGAGCTCATTTTGAATATTCATAAATGATATCTTGCGGCCGGTTGATGTGGTGGCAGGATTGTGGACTTTCTAGCTGCACGGCAACCATCTACCTAGTCGGTCCTGCGCAAAGAAAACATTTGCAAAATTGTCAATTGACTTTGGTCCATCTTTTGCTGAATATGCACAAACTCTCCTGGCTAGGTGATTTGATCAAAAAATAACTAACGGGGTGGTTTGAGCAGAGGTAAATTTACATCACGTGGATAATTTTCCCTGCATGTTTTGTAGCATGTCTCAGAGGTATGAGTTTTGAAGATATACTAGTTTGGGCCTCAAAGATTGTTGAAACTTGGTTGGAGCAAGGGTGAGTGGAATGTGTTGTAATTTTCGTGAATGTGAATCTAATTTTGAGGTGTCTCCCCATAACAGAACCAACCCAAATAAGCATCTATCTCACTACATTGTTGTTCTTCTCCCTCCTCCTCTCCTCCCAGCTCAGTCCCAGAGTAAACCGATGCAAACAACTCCTATTACTCAGCCATATTCCTACCTGAGCCTGTCACCTCTCTTCTTTCTTAGTCCTCTTATCCTTGCTCTCCTCATTGTCCTTGCTCTCCTCATTGTCCTTGCTCTCCTCATTGTCCTTGCTCTCCTCATTGTCCTTACTCTCCTCATTATCCTTGCCCTCTTCATTATTCTTGTTCTTCTCATTGTCCTTGCTCTTCTTATTATCCTTGCTCTCCTTATTATTCTTGTTCTTCTCAATGTCCTTGCTCTTCTTATTATCCTTGCTCCCCTTAATGTTCTTACTCTCCTCATTATCCTTGCTCCCCTTAATGTTCTTACTCTCCTCATTATCCTTGCTCTCCTCATTGTTCTTGCTCTCCTCATTATCCTTGCTCTCCTCATTGTTCTTGCTCTCCTCATTATCCTTGCTCTCCTCATTGTTCTTACTCTCCTTATTCTTTTTATTCTCCTTATTCTTCTTACTCTCCTTAATTTCTTTAAATAAAATCACAACATGTAATAACGTTGCTCTCACATGGTCCATCACTCCTCTGTCTCTGTAATCCTTCCTGATTAGCTCGCGGCATGTTTCTCTTCTTTTTCCTCTCTCTGAACTATCCATCATAAAGGTTTCATCCCATTCTCTAATTGCTTTCTTGATCCCATCCTTTTGTTTCTGAATGCGAGTGTCGAAATTGGAAGATAGGTTCTCCAACATGGCAGATTCGGTTTCTTTGAGTGCGTATATTGCTGACAACCATTTATTGAAAGGCTCTATACAGGCATTGGCAAATTGATTGTGCCAAGCTTCACCACGCTCATTGAAGATGTTGTAAACCTCACACTCTCCATTCGCATCCCATATAAGCAATTCTTTGATGTTATCCCGTGTTTCTCCAAAGATTGTGATTGAGCAGATCCCAAATTGATCAGGGTGAACAGTCATTTGTTCGAATGTTGTATCCAGATCAGTTTCGTTTGCAAGCCAATCCCGAATCTTCTTTATAGCCTTTATATCTTTTGGATCATGTACCTGCTGTTTGCGTTGTTTATTTTCCTCGTGGGAGAGGACTGATCGAGCCAATTGGTCTCTCACATAAACTACCTCTCCAGCATGTCTTCGCTTGCTCTGCTTTTCCAACTTTCGAATTCTGATTTCCAGATTTTGATATGCTATTTCCAGATTTTGATATTTGATTTCCAGATTTTGATGTGCCATTTCCAGATTCTGAAATCCCACATCAGATTTCGCTAGTAAGCCTTTGATTGTGATATTTTTAGCTTCGTGATGAGTGGGATCATTCGCGAGTATTTTCTCGCATGTGAAGGTGTCTGTATGAAGGAACAATCCTGTGGCATTCACATTCTCTCTGATCTTTAATTGCATCGAATCAATGTCGCCTGACTCCAGCTGCTTCATATTCTGAGAACCAAGAGGAACTCTTCCTACTCCTACTAGAGGATAGGGTATCTTTGTTGCGGTGTTCTATTTAGTTCATTATTAGTATACTATTATTTTTCTGGTCATACAGCAAGGTTGAATTGAATAAACAAAAGTAATGTTTATGGTATAGATGTATGGATGTATGGAAAACACAAATAGGGTTACGAACCTGCTCCAGATTGGATTGACTCTGTGCATTGTTGTGAAACTTGACATGACGTAATCTCCAGCTGGTAGCAATACATCTCCGAGTCGACATTGCCGAAACTAATAGGTTTTGACGAATCATCCTCTAGATGTAAACGATTGATCAGGAGATGAAACGAATATTGGTAGATTGAAAGTCTATCCTCAGGATGGGACAGTCGTATCTGATGGTGGGGGCGACGGTGATGGTTATGGTGGTGATATAACTTTGTGGAAATATTGTTTTTGGTTCAAATTTGAGGTATTGGCATTGATCTGGAGTTCTTAAAGGGTTATTTTAAAGCCGCTCGAGCCATTAGCCGAAGTTGCTTATAAAATTTAGTTAAAAGAGAGAAATGTAGTGAATGAGATTAAGTTATATGCTGACAGCCTTACTGAATAATTTAGGATTGAGCAGGACACCAGAAACCTTTTTTAGACAAAGACTCGCACCTCCTTGTACATAGTTTGAGCTTCTTAGGCAAATTTTATTTGTCAATCAAACCTGCAAATCCAGGTACTATGCCATCTGCAGTCTGGATACAAACAAGAAAGAATAATAAGTATCTCTTCTTTTGAACTTTCTTCTTGGAGCAAAAGGGTTGATGCTTAGGATGCAAATGATATTGTCATCTGTTGGGATTAAATTTTGGGATATGAAGAGATTATGTGCATTGTATCTACATGGAGATCATAAAGAGCAAGAGCGAAGTGAAAGGAGAAAGTAGGCGTTTCAAAAAGGCTTTTCAACGCTCTGAGCCCTAGAAACAACCTCAATCATATATCCATGTTAAACCTATCACTCCAAATCAATTGCCTGGCATGTATTCATTCCCACAGAAAGACTCTCCTTCTTCATGAACCTGCCTAACCACATCCTTCCCCAACTATGAACTGAACAGAACTTGAACAAACAAAAAACTGGTACGTATTCGGCTGCACTTCAAGCATATCTAAACTTCAAAAGGTTCATGTGAGGTTGCTAGCCTTACTAGGTTTTTTTCTCATATGATCTTTGGGAGAAAGCTGAAATGAATGCAACTATCTATTTCTTATTCACAAGCAGAAAGAAAAGTTTAACAACAAGGAATTGGCTCAGACGAGAGGAGAGGGGGCTCTCAAAAACAGAAGTTGGTGGGAAAGATGAGGACATAGATACATTAAACCAAACAAAGCCTCTTAGCTGATGAGCTTGCTTGAAACTTTTGATTTTCCTTGACAAGCGTACAAGTTCTGCTCCCTGATGTTCTTATTCTTCTTTTCACATCTTTTATTGCTTGTTTCCTGATATCTACTGACGCAGGTTTTCATAGTGCGGCTTTTCACAACATAGCTACAAGACTTCGTTCTCCTCAAATCCCTATGTCAATGAAGAAGACAAGGAGAAATTGGAGCCAGCTTGGTTGACATTAAAGATCAATGTGATGATTCTAGATGAGTTCTCATCAGCAGCACATAAAGACAAGAAGTGCGGGGACCAACAAGAACATAGACTGGGAGGCAGAAGTTCAAAGGGTCAAAGTAGCCAAACACTGGCAATGAGCAGTGCCTGTCCGCATGACTTCTCGATGATTCACTATCGGTGTAGTGAAGAATACTGAATGGATTGAGGAAGAGATGTCTGTGTCTACCTGCAGTTGCGTAGTTCGGATGATTTGTAAGCGTAGATCATTTTGTTAGTGCACAGCGAGACAACCTTAAAGCCTTACAGCCTTACAGCCTTACAGCCTTACAACCTCACAACCTTAGATGGTAGGCATTGCATATACAATCCAACGGTTGGTGTCGATCGATAGGATTGACACAACGATTTGGACTGAATTGGATTCAATATTTAAAATCCACCTTCGCTTATGTACAGCCACGGAGTAAGAACCAAAGAAAGCAGCAACATGCTCCCACTCTTTGCGTGCTTCGGCGTATGTCATCTTTCTGCTTTTAGTCACTGCAGTCAGCAACAACTAGGTACCTATAGCTACCTAGGTAGACATGCAAAAATTGTTTCCGACCGACGGAGACTTCCATAAGTTGTTAATACGAGCTGCTCACCTGAATAGATTGGTAATAGATAACGAATGATCTGACAGGCATTTGTGCCGCCTTGCTATAAGTAACAAGATGATAATATTGATCACTCTTGCCAAACTTCTTCTCAATATCTAATATCTATCGCTGCGCAAAGTTTTACTCTCAGTAAAGAATAATGCATCTCAGGCTATTGAGACGAGATGACTTGCCCTCGCTGGCAGATCTCGGAATTGAAGCATTCCATGATGACGATTTACAAACTATACTTTTTCCTCCAGATAGTGTTGCAAATGGCTCACTCCGTCGAAGTATCAATTTACGCATAAGAAAACGTCTTGTTGAAGCCGGCACACATTGTTATGTCTCGATGAGCGATGAGAATGATGAATTTTGGTCTGGAGAATCTGAGTTGCTTGGATACGCTTTTTGGACAAGAGTGGGAAAGAGCGAAGCAGCGAAGAAGTGGCAAACTGACACTTTGTTTTCGAGTATGATCTCCCATACCTTCTCTCTCGTGAATTCACTAATCATAAAAACAGAATTGGAAAGAAGATTGATAGGAGCGGAAATGTGGTACTCTGAATACTTCCTTGATCGTGACCGGCCTTGGGATAAAATCCATTACATGAGAAATCTATCGATTGATCATTTTGGGTCAATTCCAGAGTATTTGGAGTTGGCTGCATTAGCAGTACATCCTAAATACCATCGTCGTGGTATTGGTGGAATGATGCTCAAATATGGAATTGATTTGGCTCAAAAGGAACAAGTTCCCCTTGTACTTGAAGCCTCTCGTGCTGGAACTCTGCTATATACGAAAAATGGGTTCAGAGAAACTGGGAGAACTGAAATGTTTCCCGAAGTGATAGTAGTTGCTATGCAATTGGACCCAAAAGTTTGATTATCTATTGGTTGGGGATTTGAAATGGATTTAGATGTTTTATTAGTGACAATGTATGTATGTCATGGGAGACCTCTTGGCTAGCAATATATTTTTCCTTCTTTCTTTCTTGATTGAATCGTTTGTTCTCTCTAACCACCATTAATTTTTCAATTTTTCAATTCACTTTCGTGGAAGTTACGTGGAAGGAAGGTCCGAATGCGCCAGCTTAAGACTCTAGCTACGATTTATACTTTGAGAATTCCGTCACACAAGCTCTTGTGATGCCTCCATTCGGAGTACCGCCGATAGCTTCTCATGTTTTTAGGCATTTGAAACTTTTACTACATGGGCAAGAGCCACAAAGCACTTCTCCAAGCAGCTTCAATTACTCTATATACCCTCCTTCTGTACTTCGGTCAGCTTCACAATCGATTTTTACTCAATGGCCATTCTCAAAAATGACTTCCTACATGAAAAAGCACTGCAAGTCAATCAGTCGTCGCATCTCTGAGGTGTCAAATTTGAAAGAATTGTCAGAGAGGAGGTCGTCCTTGAAACCACCCCCTCTTGAAACCCCGAACCGAGACAAAGCAACCCCAGAAGATCAGACGCCACAAGGCTTGCTGCTTTCCCGGAATGCAATATCAGACAAGACTCCCAAGAATGTAGCTACTCCCAAGAACAAGAATACTAACACAACATCTCCTTCACTCAAAAAATCCAGAGAACCAAGCTCAACCTCTTCCGAATCAACCATCATTAATACAACCATCTCGCCCATCCCTCCACCATCACCACCACCACCACCAAATCCAACAAAAACGGTCCTGACGAAAAATACCAAATTAACTCTCACCTGCTTTTCGAATCCTCTTTCCCGGGCCACACATACGTATCCGTGCATCTCCAACGCCTCCAACACGGTATCTATTCCGATGCCAATCTACACACCAAACATACCTTACACGTAACATTCATTGCTCTCAGTTTCATATTCCATCCCTCGACCCCACGCACCGTTTCGAGAGCGCACTCATCGATATCAAAGTCCGTGATCAGAAAGGAAATTTGAGATTTCTCAAATACGCGCCGCATCAAGCATATGGGAAGATAAGCACAGAGAGTTTGAAATGGAATTTTCAGTTAGGGTCTTCGTTGGGAGTAACGCAGGGACCGGCAAATGTGTGTGTGAGGCCGAGTATTGGCGAGGAGAAAAGTAAGGTTATGGGGTCGATGATGAAGATGTATGTTTTCCTTTTTTTTTCTGCTTCTGCTGGTTTTTTCTCTTTCGTATTTGGGTCATTGATTATGTATACGTATGTGTAAAGACAAGGTTCCACACGAAGCACCTTTCACCATTCGACTCGTTATTCGGATACACTCCTTCATTTTTCGCTCGAGGAAAACGTACAGCAGGAATCGGGACTTCCGCGGGAATTCACATTTGTGTTTTTGCTTGAGAGACCAAGTGAAAAACAATATCCGCCTGTTCATACATTTCATTCTTCTAAACTTCAAACGCTTGAGCATAGTATCTCTGAGAAATTGAGAAGTATGAGTGGGAGAGGAAATAAAGATAGGGATGGAGAAGAAAAATGCATGGAATATCAATGTGAAGATCTGGCTGGGGAAAAAAGCACACCGAAATTAGAAGTTGAGAGATTAGATGGGGATTTAGAGGAGATATTTGGGGAAGTAGAATTTGAAATTGGGATTGAACCTCAAAGTTTGTTTTCCCTTCCCCATCTCCTTTCCTTTGTTCTCCTCTCCTCTCCCGCTAACACAAACTCCCAGTATCCAACACCCTCTCCCTCTCCTCTCTCTCCTCCCCGCTTCCTGCAATTTCCCACACAGGCGGTTCAGTCCATAATAACGCAGCACACACCGAAACCACAAGAGTCCTCGGAGAAGTAGGTCAGAAATTTCCAACCGAGGGAACACTCGATAGTATGGGAAAAGCTGAACACGAAGAGGCCATTGTGCATGGATTGTATAATTTTGCAAAGTTGGGAGGGGCGTTTGAGGAACAGGTTAGCTTGCCGGGGGAGAGTGTAGGGAGTAGAGTGCCGGAGTTGGATGGTGGAGGTACTGCGGGTGGAAAATAGGTGGGATGAGGTATGGTAATGGGAACGACAGGGAAGGGTAAAAGCGGTGGACGGCAACTTGTAAGAGTATGTAAGAGAAGCCGGCATGAAACGGAATGTGGATTGGATGGGCTAGCTTATAATCAATAGGTGGTTTAACATATCTTGTACGAAACATTATCCCATATCCCGTATATATTCAAGGAAAGCCAGTCACCAAGTTTTGTCGGTCATTTTTACCTTCGTCATGTCCTTAGTTCTTTGTTTCAAAATCATCTACTATTCCAAGAAATCTTATCGATCAATGATCGAGATCTTTCTCCAGCCAAGAACTTATGCTTGGTCTCAAGCTGGAAAAGCTGAAGATGAGCCCGATCTACCTTCATGAATATTTGAACAAGGCGCAAAACAGTGGACGGACAAAAGATAGGTGTTCTAGGAAAGGGCGCCTTGTATTGGGATGAGCTCCATCTCCCGTATAGAAGTATATCATCCATATACCATAATATTCATTATGTGTCTCTCGTATGCATTAAAATCCCAAATATCGATATTTGATCCCTCTCAGCAAGCGAACGGCAAGTTGCTTCGCGGGAGAAATTAGTCTCAACCGCCTTCTTCAAACTCCACCCATGTCATCCCAAATCAAATCTTCGACCCAATCATCAATCCTGTCTCTCTACCAAACATCCTCCGGCATAACCTCAAAACTCTCCCCATTTTCCCGAACATGTTTTAGAGTCTTGTCCCTCCTCAACGGTTTCCGCATATCATACGCATCCTCCCCCTCACCCTCATCCGCCTCTTCTCCTCCGACAAACTCATTATAATATCCTTTAACCTTCCTGAAAACACTATATCCCAATCCCTTGTAAAGTTCCTGCGCAATCATGTTACTTTTCCTCACAAACAAATCCACAAACCAAGCATCATATTCTTCTCCTCCTTTCTCTAAAACTTGAGACAAAGTTCTTGCGAGACCTAATCGACGCGCGGAGGGAGAAACGGTGAGAGCAGTGATATGAGCGTGCCATGGTAGATAATGCGGAGATTGTGAGAGAAGCATGGATTGTGGAGAAGACTCAGTCTTGCCCATTATGTAACCGGTGATGGCAGAAGAAGGAGAGAGAGCGACGGTAAAGAGATGTGGCCATCGTGCTAGATAGGAGAAATAGAAGCTGAGGTCGTAGGTTTCAGTCAAGGGATCGAGGTTTGTGGGATTAAATTTCAGGACGTCGAGAGCGGAAAACGGGCGGAGGGTTGTCATTTTGATGAGGGGTAGTGGGTTGATGGGTTTCGAACTGATGTTGGGATGGTAATTTTTAAGCTGCTTGGAGCTCTGATCGATGATATTGTGCTCAAAAGTCAGTTGTGTTGTTGAGTGTACAATTTATTAGGTTTGGTATAATTTGGCGAGGAATGTGAACAGTATTGTGAGTTGTGGGAAAGTTTGTGCCATGAAAGGTAGCTTGTAGCTACAACATAACTCAAAACCATGAACCAAAAATATACTGCCAATTGTCACCGCTATCATCGAGTACCGAACGCCGATGATATTGCGGCACATCAAGAATCAACCACTGCAAGGAACTTGCTTGTCTATTGGATTGGACTCTCGTTTTTTATACTTCCAAAACATCAAGCTAACATGTTCGAGTGAGAGAAAGCCGAAATGGAGTAGCAGGTACGAATTCTTTCCTGTCAACCGCACAGATAGATGCCTCCCTCAACCAACCTCATCGCCAAGTTTCATATCATCTAAGATAAGGATTAGACTTTCAGGGACCCATCAATCCTCCTCGCCAAACCATCTTGCACGGTGTTTTACTCTGCGCTGGTTCATAATAATAATAAAAGCGAGATTTGATATCACCTTTGAGGACTACCCTGTTGACCTTAGCTGTTGTTTGATACTATAACAAGGTTCAAGTGTCTTTGGGTTTCCACGTCGACAACACAGCGAAGAAGGAAAAGAAACATTGTTGTTTTACTAACCACTTATATTTGTGCGCGGAGTCATATTCACTCACTCATACCACTATACTACAACTCCTACGACTTTGCTTCGGCTTTTCAGGAATACGAACATTGGTTCACATTGCAGATCGAAATAAATTCGTTTTAGGAAATCGAATAGGAGAGAATATATTACATACGACTGTAGGAAATCATACCACATCAAACAGAAGGAACACATAAAAGCACACGCGATACCAATTTGAATCACAAAATTCCTTAAAGACGATAGAAAGACCGAGAAATTAAATATCGATACCTGTCAAAATGCCTCCTTCACCACAAACTCCTAGGCATAGTCGGCACCCTTCCGCACTAGATTTCTCACCCTCAACAATGAGCCTTTCACGCAGACTTTCCAAATCTTCCATACATACACCGACTACACCAAACCATATGAGTCGAGATTTTAGTAGCAGTGTGGACGGAGTTGGTATGGATGTACTTGGATCAGCGCAAAACGGAGGAAATGGACTTGGAAATCTAGCAGATGAATTAGCAGATGCATGGAGTGAAGACGAAGGAGAAATGGACGAAGCAGATCTTAATTTTCAAAACACTGCGCCAATGGAATCGGATAATGAGGATGCGGAAGAAGACAAAAATGCAGTGAGGGATAGTGGTGTAGATGTTACAAGTCCGAAAAAACAACATACAGCTATGAATTCAAATTCGACCTTGACACCGCCGACAGCCGGGCATGGGAGAGTCCACGCGTTAGGCCATGCGAGGTCGCCGTCTGAATATGATGGGAGTGATTATGGAGGAGATTCGGATTTGGAGAGTCCGGCCTTTGGACCGGCTTTATTGGCGAGAATGGATATGGTGGAGGGGTTGGCAAGGAGGGGTACGGAAAATAATGGAAGTCAAGCTGATGGAGTTGTTAAGAGGGTTATTGAAAGTTTGAAAGATTTAGGAGGTCAGTCTGGGTGGAGGGAAATACTACTAGGTTTGTCACTCTTTCTGGATGTTCTATATCTTTCATTTCCTCCTTTTGTCACAAAAATACTCTATGCTCCTTTGATGGAAATACTAACCCAAACAAAAGACTAGTAACAACCCATACTGCCCTTTCAACGCACCTCCTCCACCAAACCCGTCTCATCCAGAATCTTTCCCACCCCCTCTTCTCTCCTCTGTCCGCGCCGCCCACTCCGGAATTCATAGACACACTCCTCCCTCTTCTCGATACCCTCAGCGATTCTATCCCTCGCCCTTCAACACAGTCCCTTTCATCAATCACCTCCTTACATTCTCTAACCACCGATTTAATTCAAACAATAACATACTTGTCAGATACATTACATATGTCTAGACAAACTACAGTACAGGCATCGAGGAAATTGAAATCAGCAAAGGAATTGGTCGGCGAAATGAGAAGGGAAGAGGAGCTCAGAGAAGAAGGAGAGAAGTGGGTAGAACAAGGAGATTGGGAGAGGAGGTTGGGGGAAAGAGAATGCGCTGGGGTTTGTAGAGGCGTAGTTGGGGGATTTGAACAGGTTTGTGAGGACTGGAGAAGGAGATTAGTAGAGAGTGCTGGTGGCGAGGTGGGTGCTTGAGACGGTAGTATGGAAGAGGACATGATATGGAATGGCATACAGATGTTGAGGAGAAAATACACCCGCGCCGAATAGATACCAAGATTCAAGGCAAGAGCACACAAAGTGCGAGATGTGGATAAACATAGAGAGACGAGAAGTTATTCTAAACACCAGACCGAATGGAGAAACGGGTTCAGGTCGGGCGCTTGGATGGATATCCGGATAGATAGTTGGTTGACTGGTTAGTAGGCTGGCTGGCTCACCACTTGGATGGACGGATTCACGGATGGATAATATAGAAGGCGTGAAGATAAATAGACAGATGAGCCTTTCTTCTCGTCGGATAAAAATATAAATACAAATTAAACTTATAAAACTTTTGTGTACATATGTTCGAATGGTCTCGGAAACAGTACTTTGAGTAAAGTATCAGTCAATTGTGTGGGGTGTGGGAGATAAAGTTTACAGACAGATTCAGCGTTCTCGAAGTTGGGCAAAGAGGTTGCGAAGGGGGAGCAGGGGTATAGAGTTTTGGCCTTCGAGAACTGGATTCATTACAGCTGCATTTGAACTCGAGACAGGAAATAGGTTAGAGTTTCGCTGTGGTTGGATCAAAGCAGTCGGTTTGAATCGTGCAGAAGAGATGGAGGGGAGAAATTGGTTGTCAGGGAAGACTTAACGAACATACCTTAACGGATAACGATAGTATTCTGAAAAAGGAAGTTCTAGCAAGTGCTAGTAAGCGTGAGGATCGATAGTGAGCAAGGAGGTTGAGAATGATGATGAGACTTTCGCGAGCGGTGATAAATCCTCATTATCCTAGAGTGCTCTTGCTTCGTCACTTTGAGTTGATCTCATTAATGAATCAAGGGTTTGGTTTTCTAGGGCTGCGTTGCGGTTGCGAGTTGGAGGGAAGTATAGTGTGCAACGAACTTTGCTTTTTACGCTGTTGATGGCATCAAAGGTTCTCTTGAGCAGAGGTTCAATGCGATTCTTGTGAAGGAATTTGGGGAGTTTACTGCTGATTGGGAAATGTTTATTATAGCCGTAGTTTGGTGCGTGGATTTGGGGCTGGGAGATTGGAGAGTTTTACAGAAGGGAGTGGAGTAAAGTGGGGTAGGATAAGAGTGAATGGTGTGATCGGAAGTGCTCCATGTTATGTACTCCTTACTATGTAAGTCAATCCCTCACATGAGTTTTGGCTTTATTGTCATCAATTCCCTGAAAGGCGTGGTGAATGCTCTCAGATGGCTGTTCTCGCTTAAATGCAAGCTTGATCTCAGAAGTAGTAGGGGCATATAGAGTCTTCCGAGTATCTTGAGTAAATCGATAAATCCAAGAGCAGCTCCAGGAAAAGCGTTGAATGCGACCAGTAACCGAGGATCTACAGAACTCTCCTTATGGTGTGCTGGATTCGTATTAGGCTAGCAAGTATGGTACCCGAATGAACAGAGGAATACGGGAGGGTTCTTTCTTGTGGTTTGGTTGTGATGTGAGAAGAACAAGTGTTTCATGACAATAGAAGTCTACTTTATCGGGAGGATAGACGACAGTAATAAAAAATCGACAACAAAGGTGCTTAAACAAAAGATGGTATTCCGGTTAGGACGTCAAGAGGTTTACTTCTCATGTTGCCCCTGGACTGATATGGTATCTCCAGCACATCTCGATGGTGCAGTCACTTTTCCTTGGTTGGTGATATACCTGTTACTTTGTGGACTTACCGAATCTCTTTTGCTACGAGGCTTTCTTTTGTAGCTAGGAATCGAGGAGTGTGTTGGAAAAATAAAATAGTTGAATAGATTGAGTAGGTGAATTCATCAGATGCCTACCTAGGTACTTGCGATCATGGGAATGTTATATTTCGCGGGGTATCACGCCCATATCCCCATATAATTGCTGGTCCTCTATTCTCTTTACTCAATTCACTGTCTCTCGTGACCTCTAACCCTTTTGTACTTCAGCTATCGAGAGTATTCTATGCTCAAGTGGTGGATATAAAGATGAGGGTATCACTTGCATGCTCCCAATTATGAGAATATGGGTTCATGAAACACACTACGTGCGCCTATTCAAGTGGAATCCCCTTCTTTGCAGCGTGTGGGATTCTCTTGTGAAGGTATAAAATATGACGAAGAGGCAGAAAAAACAGGAAAGGAGCGGAAAGTATTGTGAGTGAGAGTAACACTAAGTTCTGCCGCAACCGTCAATAGCAGGAAATCATTGGATCTGACAATTAAAGATTCTTGAGATGAGATGAATGATCCATGATAATGCCATACGTCGACGATTCATACCCATGCAGAAGCCATTATAAAGATGACTTGGCATCACTTTTTTGCAAATCTGATTGCTACAAGATGATTTCTTGCCTCTACTTGGTTCTAGTGTGCCTCTCAACTTTTCATTGCTTTGCGCTTACGGTTCTACGAAAGTACCTTAATGCCCACCTTGAACTTTGAGAAACTTGAGCTTGCAGTGAATACAGTAGAAAGATGTGATGTGGCTTTTCTTGATCGTGTTAGTGTAACTATAAGATTCACTTGCTTATCATACTCGAACCTCCTGATTAGTTCAAAAGCCTTCCCTAGGGATCGAGAGTTTTCACATTGTTGTTCCTCAAGGTCATAGATCGAAACTGTCATATGGATACCGGCAGCTCTGATTCTGAGATAGATTCTGATTGAATTAGAGTTAGGCAATGAATGGTGTGGCTTTTGAGTAGGTCTTGGAGGAAGTATGGAGTTCGGCAAAAAGAATAAGATTGGTGAGTAAATGATAAGATGGATTGGACTAGGTTGCAATGACGGCTCTCGATATCTCTCTCAACAGCGATTTTTGAGAAGCGTCGACAGTATGACGAAAATCAGATAAAAGAATCATTTTCTACTGCCTACTCTGCGCTCTTCTCTCTCTTTCTTTTATCATGCATTCTCAATACAGCATCTCATGTCACCATTTGACCATCTTTAGATCTCCACCAAACTCCTGAATTTCTTCCATGACTCCCATGACCTCCCTACAACATCTATGTGAACAAGAAGACCACCACTATCTGATAAATACTGCGAACTTGGATGTACAAATCTTGCAGCTGGAGTCCCACTGCTGGAACGAAATTCAGTTATCCTACTGCATCTCATGCATGAATCCACATTTCAGTTCTACAATAACCAGATATGGGAGTGCGAATCAAGCTAGTTTTAAGTTGGCTTCTTCATGGTTTCTCAAAATTCCGTTATATAAACAACGGCTTCAATCGAAATTCATGCACGTGTAGAAACAAGCTCCAGTCGAGAGACACTGGTTTATGAGAACTGATTGATACAAATTAATAACGAAAAGACTTGTCACACTAACTACAACAACGAAACTGTTCTTTCGCGAATCTTTGATGTCTCAGTGCTGGTGCTAGAATTGGGGTAGAATTCTGTCAGTTTTGTCAGAAGCTTGGAAATTGCAAAATTAATGTGTAGGACACACTTACAGAAACACATACCATGATATATGTAAGCGATTAGCGGGGTTTGGATGTTGATTTATTAGTCATGTAAAAGAAACAACCTATGCGTGAAATTAAGCAACAAAGCAAGCAGCAAGAACTTTTTTCACAACATTAAGAGTTAATGGACTTTATGAAAAATTTGTGAGACGGTTCAAACATTGCACAAAAGTAAAGGGTGCGAGAGCATGGAGAATAGATCAGACATGATCCCAAAGCACGATACTCGTGATGGAAAGTCTTTTTCCTATTGAGGATCCAATCTAGTCTTAACTGTTGAGGTAATTCCATGTGGTGTTTCTCCCAATATGAGACGCTCATAGTTTCATGATATGCAGTGTCACCAGGTGCATACTAAAGACTTCACTGATAGATTTATTTGAAACCTCCCAGGTAAATCTGCCTTAATTTGGCTTGATCAGAGCGAGTCAATCGATGAGAAAGCCGTCAATATAGTAGTGCCCAAAGGGGAATCTGCATCGTGTCCTCAAATCGCTTAGCTACCTATTTTATCTTGCTTTCAACTTCAAGCCACTCTTTGGACTGCAGCTCAAGAAAACACCTATAAGAATAAAGGCATAGTAGAAAATATTCATAATCCAAGATTACCTGGACTCTGAGATTTAGATATGTTATTTGTCTCTAAGCCCGGCGATATGCTCAGACCAACCTTGTATGTAGCAATAATGGAAATATTAGTGACAGAAAGCCTCCACAGCAACAGTAAAACTGCATTCTGGGATGGAAAGAAACGCAAGCTCTCACATTCAGACTTTGCCAACCAAAGTAAAACAAGACGCGGGTATTGGCATATGCTAGAGATGAAAGCAAGTTTGAAATCATTGCAAGGTCGGAGCAGATCGTACGCCAAAACTTTGGCCGTCTTGAATTAATATAATCGTAAGAACCAAAATCAACAGCTTTGAATAGCACAAGAATATCTGCTTACAACTTTCATTCTTTTTGCCTAATTCACCAACTCAAGAAGTCTGTAGTAGGATATCATTCACATTTCTTCTCTACCCCTCCTGGACCCACTACTCATCAACCTTTGAAGCGCAGGATACAAATACAGGACTACCTATATAAATCAACACTTGATGAGCATCTTACATTCAGATAAACAAAAACCTTGCGTTCAAAAAATGCAATGGGGAGGAGAATATTGGGGTTATTAAATCAATACTCGGAGCATTTCCATGTCATGGTAGTTACAGTCTCCTTGAACCGCCTTGCCAGAATTGTGAAATTGACAAATCGAAAATAATGAACGACAATAAAAAAGATGCCGATGATATTGTTATTAAAGAGATATAATTTACCTCACTGTCAAATCCACTCACTGACCTGCACACCGAGACTAGCGGTGAAGAAAACACCGTGACAGAAACGCTTCTCTAAAAATCCTCATATCACGCAATGAAACTACCACCGCAAGCATCCATCGTTCAAACCACCCACACGAAAAGTTTCCAAGCCATCACAATCACAAGCGTCTAACATTCTCCAGTCTTACGAAATTCCAAATATCAAAATGTAAGCGCCCACCCACCCCACCTTTTCACTCTCATCGTCATCATCACCGTCATCATCATCCCCCATTCTTCAACAATCCTTCAGACTCGGGTCCATCGTTATCTCACACATTTCGCATCTCACAGACCAACCTCAGATCTTCCACCAAACACTATTCTTCACCCTAACCCAAAATACTCAAAGAAACCTAGAAGGTAGCATTTATTAGATATGCAACAAATCCTTCTCGGTCAAGGGAAGCGCCTTAGAGGATGGGGAACGATGGAAAGTCTTGGGTGAGATTATAGTAAGATGTCATGTGCCTGAAATTGGCACTTGGCATCTTCGATTTAGACTTAGATGAAGAGGGAGAAAGTGGAACTAATCAGGTGGGCAAAAAACATTTATCGTTGGAATAGGGAGAGGATAAGGGGAGAATGCATCGAGATGGGTATGTTATCATAACATGAGTGGAACATACAAAACTATTGATACTACGGCTCACGCGATGTTGCTCGGCATTTCTGCTTTAGGTGAAGGACGGAAGAAGGTAGCATTCATCAGATGTGCAACAATACTTTCTCCGTCTTAAAGATGGGGTGAAGTAGAAGAAGGTAGCATTCATCAGATATGCAACAATTCATCCTTGTTGCCCAAAAATGTGGTGAAGGATCCATCTATATCACATCGAGATGTGTCTTACCTCTTGGGACCTGAAACCCCCGCTCTGCATACCCAATGCGGACAGTTCATGACAGAAGGTAGCATTGACCAGACGTGCAACAGTTGCTTCTCATTCCCAAAGAATGAGGCGAAGGATCCATCTATATCACATCGATCCATATCTCACCACTTGATCCCCAAAGTCCCCGCTCTGGATACCCAAACCGGCCAGCTCATGGAAGAAGGTAGCATTCACCAGACATGCAACAAAACCCCTCTTCTCAAAACCTACAGTAAAGGATCTCCATTCCTATCCCTATCCAGAAATAGATCTCCATCCCCCAAAGACAATCTGAGGCTCACTACCGCCCCTGCCCCAATCAGAAGAGCAAGGAACGAACGTAGCATTCACAGATACGCAACAAAAGTACCTATCACTCCCCAGCAACCACAACGCAACACATTCTCCCATCCCATCCAGCCACATCCCAAAACTCCACTCAATCATTGTCTCATGCCCCAGAATCACCGCTTAGCATTCCTATCCAAGTAATCCAATTCTCAAGGTAACATTCATCAGACACGCAACAAAACCCTCTTTCCATCTTTCTCTAGCTTAGAAACCCCTAAAACTCCAAAGATCGCCACCTTCCATACCCATTCCAGAAACTCGCAAAAGAAGGTGGTATTTTGCAGATGTGCAACAATTCCTTTTTTTGGCGTTCCACGCTGTTCGTGCGTGCGTGCGTTGGAGGATTGTGATCTAGCGGTGACGATGTGGTGGGAAGTGGGGCCGGAGAGGTGTCGAATAAGAGGGTGAAGAGTGAGACATCTGGGTTTTGAAAACTCGTGATTTTGGATGGAGAGTATGAGTTGATAGGTAGGTAGCTATCAAGAGGAGAACAAATAGAAATATTCGAGTATCGAGTAAGCATGAAAAATTTCATTGGAATCTCGTGAATAAAATATATACAAAGCTAAACACCTCACCTCCTCAACAACATCCCCCCCAAATCTCACCTCCTTCTCCTTCCTCTCACCCATCACACCCTTTCTTTAAACACAGTCCGTTCCTCCATAAACAAACTCTCCAGTCGAGTTTTCACACCCACAAGTACCATCCACGGGACTCTTGATACAAGTTGTTCCCACTCCACTACTCGTTCCCTCACTTCCCCAATAAAATACCCAGTAATCAGCTCCCGCCTTCAACTCCGACTTCGTAGGCGCAGTACAAGTGTATGCGGAACAGGTTCCGTAAGGAGCACCGTGGGAGCTATCATATTGATGATCTGTCTCGAAGACGGCGAAGGTTTGGGTGCCGGAGACACGAGTGTTGTATGCACATTCGGCGGCTTGGATGGCTTTGGAGACTTTGGTCGCTGAGGGAGGAGGAGGTTAGTTATTTGGAGATTTAGAGAGGGAGACAGCTAGAGGTTACCTGTGCAAGCTGGGGAACTGGGGTAGTAGCCCTTTGTGTTGGAGGTAGCGGGATCGAGGGTTGCGGTTGCGAGAGTGCTGAAAGCAGCAATGCTGAGGATGGAAGTGAAGAAACGCATATTGATTTTCTTTGGAGATTTATTTAATATCCTGAAGGTAAAGAGATAGATGATGAGATGAAGAAAGATAATACAAAAACGAGAAATCGAGACATATTTGTACCTTTCCAAATAGATTAAAGGTCCAGAACCACGCACCAAACAATCTGAAATAGAGTGAAATCAACATGCAATAAACAAAGTATCCATCTCAAACCCACATCCATCGGGGATATAATGTGAGAACCTAGGGAGGGAGTTCAGCAATCCGGGGTTCATCGAATTGCCGATAGGGAGGTGTAGCGGCGACGGGCCGATGAAACGCGTGGGTGGGTCCATCCGATGTTTAGGAGATTGATTCAGGGGAAGAGATTATGGGACGATGGAAACATTGAGTTTATTTGGATTTGATGTTCCTAATATAAACAACATGTTTCAATTCGTCAGCTTGTTTGTCCATTTGCTTCATAAGGTCTCACTGCGTCGTTACCGTGTATCTCGATCCCATATTGATAGAAGCATCTTCGCCCCAACAAAACTCCTAGATGTCTTGGCACAGCCTCAACTCATGGGTAGATACTTGAAAGCAGAATGTCATCTTGAGAGATGATTCCATATTTTCCCTATAATATGCATATATACATCCTTACACCGAGCTGATCCAGTGATATCCACAAACCCTGCTAGGATTAGGATTTGTAGATTGAATTGCGTACACACCGATCGAGAAGCATTCCACAATTGATCTAGAACGCGAGAGGACTTTGAATTTGTTGTATCTATAGCTGTTCGTACAGAACAACCTTATTCATAAAAGAGCTCATCTGGAAATGGCCGCATAGATTAAATGCGATGTGGACTTCCACAACAATACAATATCTTCAACACCTACTTCCCTGTAACAACTCTCTCCTCTTAGATACCACCATGATAATTATTCCGGCCGTCAGAATTTAAAACTCAATAAATTCAAGAAGAAATTCAATGAAGCATTGAATCTATGAAATTAAATGAAAGACTTCTCTTCATTACGACTTCCTCCGAATAGCCGGATCCTTTAAAATGTTTAGATGGTTAGCATAAAAAGCCATCAATCCGGCCACATTTCATGTATGAAGAGTAATCCAGTATCCGAAGGACTTGAGGCTAAAATTTAGTGATTGTATGACCTCATATCACCAGTAGACTACATGGCGAGCACAATCACTGCCGGTGTGAAACGGTGCAACTTATCGCAGTTTCCACTGGGGGCTGACACCAACAAGGAAAGAGTTGTCAAGGATCAGTTGTAGGTAATCCCTGTCGATGTGTTGGTACTGCGGTGTGGTGATGCTATCTAGCATGAGGTGTTGATGTCGAGACAGAGAAATGTAGTAGTCGAGAGTTGTGTTTGCAGACATGTAATTTCATTCCGCCCTCGACTTCAACCCCTTTAAAGATATCAACATTTGACATGAACAAATGATCCCATATGTTGCGAAAAAATTCTTCAATTGTAACTATCATAACCCAAATCTCAAAGTTTCCCCTCACGATATTTGACCGTGTGTCTATATGACATATAAGCTGTTATTCAAAAACCAATCCATTCATTAATCCTTTCCTTACTCTCCAAGAATCTTATCGGCACCGGAGACTAGAAGATGGTTGTTAGTATGTTTGTTCAAGTATAAGCCAGTCTTTCGAACATACCAGTGTGTCCAATGTTATCTGGCTCAATGTTGACACTCTTGACTTTACCACCCTCAATAACAATTGCGTATCTCTTGCTTCGGTTTGTGCCCAATAATGGAGCAGCTGGGAATTCAAGATCCCACGCACGAGTGAAGCTTCCGTCTTGGTCACCGAGGAAACGGATACCACTCTTCTTGTCTGCGTCAAGAGATTTGCCCCATGCGTTCATACTGTTCATAAGAGTTAGCTAAGTTCAGCCTTGAAATGTGATGTGGGGTCAGAGTTGCGGAGTTGGGAAGTTCTTACACGAAAGCATCGTTGACGGATACAACAAAGACCTTTCCTGCGGACTCAAGCTTTGGGTGCATGATGTAACCAGGAACGTGAGAATCAGAGCATGTTGGACTGAAAGCTGCTGGAACACCGATGATGATACCAGAACCTTCGCCAATCTCGGCAGCAATGTTGACCTTTTGGCCTGGGTTGCCCTCGGCGAGCTCGACAGTTGGGATGGAATCTCCGACCTTGACCATGATTGCGATTTAGGTGTGTGGTATTGAAAGACTGATTGTATTTAAGATAGTATGATGTTGTAGATGTAATGTGTTGGTCGAGCTGATGAGTTGATGTCGAAGAGTGAAATAAGAAGAATGAGAAGAGGGGTGAAGTCCCATACTTAACTATTCACTCAGTCACCCCGCCATAACGTCACTTAAGCGTATATGCATCAGAGCTGGCTTGTGCGATGGGGGTATTGATGTTATTGGTGTCATTGGTGTCATTGGTGTTCATTAGCCACAATAATTCGGAATGTAACCCCATCAGTTGCGAGTATTTGGAATACTAAGAACCTCTAAGAAACTCTAGGAAGGTCTGAGACAATAGGGACGATCCGAAAACCCGCTTTTTCATCATCTGTGGTACTTTGATACTCGTGATAAGGTCTTTTGAGTACCGGAGTTCCAAAATAGACGATCGACTTTCTCCTTTGGATTTGAATTGTGTGATATCAATATTTCGTGCATGTTGGAATGGCTGAGGGAATGCCAAAGGATTTGAAATATGGCGTTTAGATTGGGGTAAGGTAGCAGTGCAGTTCTACTCGGGTACCTAGGTGCGACGATGGACGCTGGCGGAGGGGTAAATTAATCTATTTTCAGGGTATTCTCGGAGCACGGACTTTCCGGAGTCTTTCAGGACGAGGCTCACATTGGTTGAACAAGGCTTCGTGCAAGGCTTGGTACAAGGCTACCCAAGTACGTATCAGTTGCTCGTAGAAAGAATTTGGAATTCTTGTCAATTTGATAACCACCAATTCATCTACACCCATGCCACCAGCCAGCATTATTTGATATTGAAGGTCGAGAACCATATCAGAACTACCGGATTATCAATTCGTCCTCTTCGTACATGGTATGTCATGATTCTTATCATATTCTGCTGACAATTAATGATCTGATTTGGGATGATCTAGACCTTCTCTTGATACCGGTTGCTCGATACGATTATCTATCCAATATCCATTTCAACCTCGCGACACCAACCTCCCATGACGACTTCTACCCTACGCACGAATATAGACAAGATTGTCTCAAAAATCATCGTGTTCCCATAAATGTGCCATATCTTTTACGACACCATTGGATCCAGAAATTCTATAACTCGGGTGGTTCTATAATTGCATTGAATGGTCTTTACCTACAAGGTATCCTACGCTCTAGATTGTCTACCGCATGCCAAAGATTAGATTGCCAGTCTTCTTATCTTTTTTTGTCAATAGATTGTCCACCAAATATCCGCGACCAAATCAAACGGATGTACGCCAAACCAGAGTGCTCGTCATGGGTAAAAGAGGACCTAAAAAGAACTACTTTGTAGTATGTCGAGGTAGAACCACTGGAATTCTTGATGGGTGGGCTCAATGTGAAACATCTACATCAGGTTTCTCTGGCGCCAAGTTCAAAGGTTATGAGACTCATGATGAAGCTCAAAAAGCATGGAATGAGTGGTTACAGTCTCAAGGCTTCACGCCTACTAAAGGTGCACCGCACGATACGTTAGAGAATAATCTTACAGATATCTCTAGAGTTGTGAATCGAAACGCGATTGATAATCATTTAAAAACACGGGTAGGATTGAAAAGGAAGTATGAAGATGAAGATGCTTCCATGAACATCAATGTCGTAATAACCTCTGCTCGGCTGACTGAAGCAGAAGCCAGTGCTATATCAACCGAAAAGACTTTGATTGACCTTACAGAAAGTCCAGAACGTACAACGTCACATGACAGACTTCTCGATTCCGAAGGAGAAAAAACACCAGCGTTCAAGAAGGCAAAATCGGGCGACAATACACCTACACTAAACCCTGATGTTGAAATTCCAGACTCAGAATTTGAGTTATCTGATGATGAAATTTTCGATAAGATCAATTCAACATGTGAAGATGTTCCCAAGCCTGTTGAACTTACAACCGAGCAGAGATCAGTCGTCAAGATGGCAATGGGTAGAGATAATATTTTTCTCACCGGTGCCGCTGGATCTGGGAAAACGGTTACCCTACTGCAAATCATAGAAAATTTAAAGAAATCACTACAGGACAACAATTCAAACATTCCGAAAGTTCAGGTTGCTGCTCCTACTGGATTGGCGGCACTGCCCTTGAATGGAAGAACAACATATTCCGTTGCTGGATGGAAACCAGATTCATTCAAAATGCCCCTTGGTCAGCTTCTTGATGATGATAACATAAAGAAAAGAACAATTAAAGCTCTTCGAAAGTTAGAAGTTCTCATATTGGAAGAAATTTCAATGGTTGAAAGCCAATTCCTTGAGCGTTTCAATTTACTTCTCCAGACGGTAAAGCAAACCAAGAAACCTTTCGGGGGTATTCAAGTGATATTTTTGGGCGATTTTTATCAACTTCCCCCTGTAAAACCTTTCGAGCATTGCATGATATGTGGAGTTGAAATGGTTGGAGTTTTTGACCGCGTTTGTAAGAGTAACCTATGCAAAGATCGTTCAGACAATATACCTTTCAAGCCGGGTGATAAATGGGCATTTAATGCTCCCGTGTGGAAACAGCTTAAGTTTAGACATGTCAAGTTGGAGCAAATTCATCGACAGAAGGACGAGAAGTTCAAAGACCTGTTAAACAAAGTTCGCAATGGTGTTGACTTGAGTGATGCAGAATGGCATGATTTGATACGTCCAAAGGTTCTTCCACCCAATGCTTTTCCTGTACGTCTCATGGCAAAGCGTTTCGATGTCGACAGGTTCAATGATTCTCAATTGGATTTGATAAAATCAGAAGCAAAGGTCTGGGAAGCCCTTGATGATTCATGTCAACTCTATCGAAACGAGCTTGATTATCTGCGTCAGCATGAAATTAATAGGAAGATGGAAGAATACAAGATCGCCATATCGGAATATCATCGTTTTCCCAAAAGACTGACGCTGAAAGTTGGTGCGAAAGTAGTTTTACTTCACAACCAAGAACAAAAGGGGGCTTGGTGAATGGTTCTCAGGGTACTATAGTTGGGTTCGTAAATGCGCAAAAATGGCCAGCAGCTGTGATCCAGGGTGACCATGCAGATTGGCGACAAGTTCAAATGAACCATTTCATTGAAAAGAATCCTTGGAGACCTGTTGTGAAGTTTACGGATGGTAAAACAACTGCAATTGCGCCGGTTCCATCAGAGACTTTAATGGGAACGGCGGAAGATAGATATCTTGCTTGCAGAACTCAAATTCCACTCATCTTAGCCTGGGCTTTGTCAATTCATAAAAGTCAAGGTATGACAATGGAACATGTTGAGGTATCAAGGAAGGATATTTTTGAGTCGGGTCAATTATATGTCGCTCTATCACGAGCAACGACGTTGGAGGGTCTCACAGTTACGGGCTACTCTAGGGAACAAATCGCTATGGATGAGGATGTTGTGGACTTTTATCAAAAGACGCAGTGGGAGAATCTACAACCTCCTTCTAAATGATTGTGTACTAGGATTTGAGCGTTTGCTATATCTGAGAGACTGAGGAATTAGGGAGAATTATTGGTAGGTTTCAATCGACATCATGTCTCATGCTCGAAATGCTAACACAAATTTGTAGTGGTTAAATCTTTGCTCACGCAAAAACCGACCAATGTACTCTCATCCATCTCAAACTTACAATGTCCATCACCGAAAGCATATCACTTTATACAACGGCGACGGCAATATTGATCAATCATTTTCAATACTAACATTTGGTTCACTTTGTACGACGTAGAGTCTACAAGTTTAAAAGTGGGCCAACCGTTGCCCTGACAAATGAGAAGCGAGATTGTACGACCCGCACCATAAAATCTCTTCAAGAAAATAATTTCTTCGACTTCCTCCATACACATCACACCACAGCAACTGCTTCAAGTTGTGTGTCTTCATGCTATTTCTGTAGCTGATTTGAAGACATAATGTTGTTGCCTCCCTAGGTACTTCAACTTGATCGATGTACAGATAATCATCGACCTTTGCTTTACCATCCAGCGTATACCCACGATTCACTAAATGTAAGTACCGCACTCAATCCAACTTCATATCTCTTTCCCCTACAACATACAATATGATGAGCAAAATTGGTCCGTGTTACTGAGAGGCCTCAAGAACCTCGTTATGGCGATACAACCGAGCACTTTGTGCATCTCTGATTTTAATTCCTTTTTATATTTTCTTTTCCCTTTTGTTGATATGAACGTGGTTTACTGTCATTATCGGATTTGGAAGAAGAAATGCTAATATTGAGAAGATAGGAATTGTTCTTGAAGGGTCTGTGTGATGAGATGAGTGAGTGTATGGCTTGGTAGAGCACTGAGGACTGAGGAATCCTTTGGTCCTTTGGCTTTGAGGGATCATCGAATGGACGGATGTATTTTGGCGTAAGATACCCATATATATGTTGCGTTGTCTCGTATGGAGATGGATAAACAGTATTGCATTGCATATAATAGGATAGCGTCACAGCATAGTACCACAGCATAGCGATGGATTTTAAAAACATAAGAAGCAACATCAAGATTTTACGTCACACTCGCTGACCATTTTTTATGTGTTTACTTGGTACTTGTGATTCTTGTGATATAATGGTTGGTCCATCTATTTTTTTTATGGTCACATATACATACCTACTACGTATTTATCTACATCTTCCCTCTCATCTTCCCTCTGCCATCTATCATCGCCTTACTCAATACATCCATCATCACCGAACCCATCGCACCACTCACCTCTTTTCCGTGCGTTTTCTTGCGTGTCCTGGTGTTCACCCGCGTTTCAAATTCCCATACACATCTGGATACCTACCACCTACCTATCTATCTTACCTACCTAGATACGTACTTGACACCAGGGTAGAGAACAAACCATGCAAATCATGCAATCAATCGAATTGAATCAAATCATTGGATCGAATCGAATTTTCTCTCTCTCTCTATAGATACTCCGTATATAATATCCTCCTTTTTCCCAGTTGTCTACCAGTTCTTCACTGGTTCTTCTCTTGATCTGTTGCCTTGACTTATCTACATTGATATTTTATAGGAAAATGGGGGTTTCTTTTTCTCTCCTATATATATACATAGGATTAAAGTATATTATTCTCACTCTTCTAGAGGACACATGCCTAGGTAGTTAGTCTTCCATTCTATCATACGATATGTTGTTTGATCCTACCCTATCCTTCTAATTTATATCTCCTTTAGTATATCACCTCCATTTCTCATTCCTGTGTCACTTTATGATACTTCCAGCTGTTATTTTCATCATCACCTCCCTTTTCTAATCGTCTGACTACTTTACTCTACCACCTCCCCTCTCCTAATCACCTCACTACTTCACTTCACCACTTCACCACTTCACCAGCTCATCATCAACATCATCCTCCCAGCCAAAAGTGCCATCTCTCCTCTAATTCCTTCAATCTCTCCTCCACTATCTCCCCATACCACACAACCCATACATCACCAACCCATACATCACCAACCCATACATTCCTATTCCATACACATATACACATACACACAAAATGGTATCCATACCATCTCCCACCGCTCTACCCACCACCGCTCTACCCAAATCCCCAAGTGCTCATCGAATTTCCATGTCAGATTTCCACATCACATATTTCTACACACGGAAGATCAGAATACTATCTACACCATCTATACCCACCTCCCAATCTATCTACTCACCTACCCACCTTCCCATGAATCTCTTCCCTATCCCCATCAAAAAGAAAATCCCCAATCCTTACTCTCGAAGTGCTAGAATCGTAAATCAATACATTAGCACATTAATTTATCAATCACTATTAAATACATATCTATGATATTTATCCATCACAATCACCATGTGACTATACAAAGTGTAAGAGGTGAGGGGGCTAGGGAGATTGGAGAAGGGAGGAAAGAGGAAAGAGGAAAGAGGAAAGAGGAAAGAGCTGATATGATATAATATACTTTACGTCAACCATATGAGTGAGTGTATAGGAATACTTGTACAATACAATACAGTCTAACAATCGAGTCAGCAGGAAGGAGGTTCGTAGGTGACTAAATACCCACGTAGTATTCAGACTTGTGATTCTATTCATATAAAAAATTAAAGGCATCACAATCAAAGCAACAAGTTTATATGTTTGAATACTTGTAATATTAAATCTATCTCTAAAGAATCTAAACACCTATCTACACTTACCTACCAAACGACAACGTCGTACAAATTACTCCAATAGTCCACTCCATCCTCAGCTCCGCGACTCCTCAACTCCGCATTGTCCTCCCCATTCACTCCAACCCTGCATAATCACATCCAACATCAAACGCAAGAATGCACAAAAAGCAACATCAGCTGAACAAAAACAATCGTAAAAATAAATGCACTCAACCACAAACCTTCAAATCCCCATTTTCCTTTTTTCTCGCAAGCCACGGTGCAAAACATCATGTCAGAGCGACGGGAACTTTCCCGTTATGCCATGGCTCGTGTCTCCATTACCCATGTAATTTCTCAACCGAACCATGGGATTTACTTTCTCAGGTAAGACATCATACAACCATTGCGTAACGCCACTCCACATTCCCTTACTTCAAGGAATGTAGTAGCGAATCCAAACATTTACCTACAGAAAACCATGATAATATCAGTCAGCTCTTTATCTCTATTATTCGGAGAATTACCTTTCTTTCTTCATATCTTTCATTCAAATCTTTCTTTCTTTGTTCTTGTTTTTATCAACAAGAATGGCTTTGTGCGAATAATTTCGTGTTCATGATAACTAGCGTTTGCATCAAGAGTGATACCACGTATAGTCTCAGAATTGCGAATATGGGAGTGCATCTTGACCGGATGCAAATATTTTTGAGCGATTACTGGTCTCGATAGCATTGCGATATATGTGATATGGATGCAATAGACATGGTTGATTTACGACTAGTCGCCTATGAAATGGGATTGATGGGTGTTTCTTTGTTTGTATGAATGCTATTGTGAATTTGTGAGTAGGGCGGATTGGGGGCGAGCACGACAGGTGGCAATTATCATTATGGGCGACATTGAGTGAAATCGAAAATAATCTTCTTTCGAAATTAACGAGCACGTTGAAACTTGCTGTCAATATGTAATACGTATCGAAAAAGCATTTTTTGCGAATATTCTTTTGTAAATGTTGTCATGGGTATTATAGTGTGTGAGTATGAGTTGTATCGAATTCTTTTGTTTATGGCGACTAAAGACGAACGAAGTCGACAAGATCTTCGAGGCGTATAGGGCCGTGGCAAATTGGTTGCGATAAAAAACTCAGTCTCAACTGAATAGTGGTACAAGGAGGACATAAGGTGATGAGGGAGCTGATCGAAAAAAGCCAGTGATATGTCCCATGGAAGAACGCACCCCTATACTAAAGGATCGTCTTTGCTGTAAACTCCGCCCAAATGACCGTACGTCGAACCGAAAAACCTGAATATTATGAAAGAAATCCTAGCATCCGTTGTAAAAAAGAAATCAAAGGGAATCGTGTGTTCTCGCTCGAAATTCCGCCGCAACATTTGTATACCAGCGCACTTTTATTTGGCATTTTCCGTTGCCCGAAGCCTTGGACCATGATGAATACAAACGAGAAGAGAAGCACAAGTGGAGGTACACCCGCATCAATGAAAGTCGCAGATCCAAAGCTGTCTTCTGCGTTCTTCGAGATCGTACGATTTAACGAGCAGGGCGCTCACCACCTATGTTGGTTAGCAATTAATATTCACGACGGGAGTGTCTATCATCATCGTAGGCTCTACCTCCATATGGCTCTCGAGCATCTCCACGAGGAGCTTGATCACCATAGGCAGCAGCGGGAGCCGGGTCTCGAGCTGGTCTATCATCACGACCACCTCTGTCGTATCCTCGATCACGGTTCTCGTATCCTCCTCCACCTCCACGGCGGTCATCACCAGAGCGGCTGTAACGGTCACCACCATCGCGGGGTCCGGCGTAACGATCAATTCCACGGGGAGCGTCGTTGTAGTCGTCACGATCACGGCGGCTGTAACCTCGGTCTCGGTCGTCTCTACCACCATAGCGTCCACCACCATATGGTTCATAGCGGTATCCACCTCCACGGCGACGATCATCGTAACGGTCTCCACCCCATCCGCCACGGGGAGGTCCACGAGGATCCTCTGTATACACGTTAGTTGTGTAGATGAAATAAAGTATAATCAGATACATACCTCTCTTTGGTGGTCCAAAGTACTTGCCAGGGGTTGGGGTACGAGGACGAGCACGACGAGCCTTTTCAATGCTCAAAGTGCGGCCTTCGATGACCTCACCTTGAAGGCCTTCCTTGGCAGCATCAGCTTGATCAGAAGTGATCATCTTGACGAAACCAAAGCCACGAGATTCACGGGTGTGAGGGTCGCGCATAATTTGGCACTTCTCAACATCACCATACTTCTCGAAAAGACGAGAAACCTCTTCTTCGAGAAGACGTGGGTGAATACCAGTGACGAAAAGGTTAGAGCCTGGGTTGACAGCACCATCATCTTGTGGTCCTGGTCCGCGATCATTCTTAGGTCCGCTGCTACTTTTATTTGTCAGAACATATTATTGTGATTCGTAGTTGAATAGACTAACCGCTCATCGGCACGACCGTTTCTGTCTGGGGAAGCAGATCGGCGAGGTCCTCCACGTGGGCTGTCATTGCGACGGGTTGGACGAGGAGATGCGCTGCGATCACGCTCGTAACGAGGAGCCTCATCTAAAAGTGAAGAAAATAAGTTAGTACACGAATACCAAGTTATCAAGAAAAGTCTCAACACATGCGAAAGAATGGAAGTAAGTACCTTCGTAACGAGTGCCGTTCTCGTTCTCATAATCCATAGTGGAAGTCATGATGATGATGTGTTATTGTAAGACGAAAACACGAAATGGGTTAAAAAAAAAGGGTTGGCTTGTTTTGTTGATTTGAAAGCTGGAGCTGTCGCAAATGAATTTTCGAGCTCTGTAAACGGTCAAGATCCGTGAAATAGAGGAAGAATAATATCAAATGATATTGCAGGAATGCAAATATTTGATACTATCGATGGGGAGTAATGGATTAATAAAGAAAACAAGATGGGAAGAAAGTTGTTGTTGAAAGGAAGAGGCACGTTAAGGTCAGATCGTCAGGTAAAAGAAGTTGTCGCGAATTTAAAATTGGGCCTAGCGCTAACACTAACCGACAGCGGCTAAGCTAAATAACGCGGTGAAGCTGAAAACAAATAATTTGAGGTATCAGGTATCAGGTTTTACCTGGCAGCCTATGTATGTATCAATCATCAATCAGGTACGCTTCTACAAGCAACAAGAGGTGTTTTCCTTTGTTTGATAAAATGAAGTATCACTGGTAGGTCTGGGTCTCTGTGCGTAAGAATGGAGAAAGCAAATCGAACATATCATACGGATGATTATAAGTTTTACTGTATGTTTGACATCATATATGTGTACGTATGTCAATCATATCAATCTTTGTAATTGATAATCCTTCCTCTAAACATTATTCCCACCAGCCGGGTCAGGGTACTGCACGTAGAGCTGAACAGCTGAGAAATCAAGGGACGCGAATCAATGATAGTATATCCTATCGCAATATACATCAATGACATTCTTATTGGTTCTATTTATAAACCTCTGAATGAAACTTGTAGTTGTAGGGAGTTGCATTTGCCTGCAGGGCATTCTTTTCCCTACGTTCAACCAAACTCATATGTTAAAGACATCTACAGATCTGGCTACCAATGATACCACTATAATCTACAATTCTTCGTTATGCATCATCTCTTCTTCGGTTACCTCTAACTTCTCATCTTCATTTAAGAAGTCTAATGCAGCAACAGCCTTCCCATCACATGCTCTTTCCAATGCTAAGAATGCAAAATGTCCTCCAACAACTGGTCTAGCTTTAAATTCGATACCTGGGAACCCACCAGTTCCCTCGGTGTCATACAAATCTGTAAGTGGTTTATCTGTGATAATGTTAGAATTTAGATATGATTTGTTTGCCAATATAAAATTGCATACCTGTTGTAGTCTCATTGACCCACAATGCAATTGAGTCCACAATTTCTTCGCGAACCTTCTTACTAGCAACTGAAACTGCAAAGAATTCCCAATCACTCTTGGTGTAAAGATGGCGACTATCAAGCGGTAAACCGTACTTCTGTCGAACTGAGTGGTACCAATCACTCTGTCGTTTGTAAACCTTGTCACTTACAAATCCGGTCTTTGAAGTTTGTTGGCCAGGAAGAGTAATAGGTTTTTGACCATTCCCAATGCTTGGAGTAGATGAAGAGCTTGATGGGATGTGGAAACAAAGTAATGAATCTGCAAACAGATTGTATAGAATGGTCCATGATCCATACCAAGAATATGCCAATTTAGCATGAGTTCCATCTCTGGAAAAGGCGAATTCATCCTCCCATCGTTTGATGTACGTTTCGGAAATATTGCGGTAGAAAACAGCATCTTCGGTTTCACCAACAACTTCAGCAATCTCGCTCATAGCCTTGATTCCTATGATACCTTTCAGTGCAAGGTTTGTTTGGTTGGCTAACCACCCCGCAAAGTCATCGGTTGACAATTGATTACTAGGGATGAGAGTTTCCCTGACCAAATAACCAGTCCATTGTTTCCATAATTTGTATGACTTCTTGACCCATTTTCTTGCTTGCTTTTCACCCTTGGCCTCGATGGGACCCCCAACACTATCATCCATACCATCCGCATCAACGAAAAGTGGGAAAGCACTTTCAATGAATTGGGTGGTTTTGTGATCACCTTGATTGGACCAGATGCTTGCTGGCTTAGTGTCATATTTAAGTGAGTTGACCAATGCCAAACCCATGATGAGCATATTACCACATTCTTCAACGGGCATGTATTCATCTCTACCATCTGGATGTCCTGTTGCGTTAGGGAATGACGAACCAAGATCATGCATGGCGTAATCATTAGGATATTGGCCACTGAGCATATGTTCGATCAAAGGCTCCAGCATATACGCCAACCATCTAGGATTAGTATACAGAAAGAATGGGAAAGCAGGGTAAATGACATCAATAGTGTTCATGTTTCCATCAGACGAGATTTCCTTGAAGAAAATAACAGGATCATCAGGAGTACCAGCAAAAGATGCAGCACCCAATACTTGACGTGCACTGAGCGCGAGGATGTCCTTGTAATCTTCAGATCCTGATTGTAAAGCATCAATCGCAAGTTGATCCGAATAGTTGCTTGCGAGATTAAAGGCTGTTTGAAAGTCGTTATAATGGTATTCAAGCAGGTCATCGGCTTCCGGATAAAAAGAAGCCCACAATGGACGCATAGCTGTCAAACCTCGAGCGGAAGCAAATTGAATGACTGGATTTTGAATATGTGCAATGGTAAAGAGAGCACTGGCGTATGTTTTCCCACTTTCAGCAGAAGTAGAATTAGAAGTAGAATTGAGCTTGAATGAATAGGCAAATGCGAAAACTGGTTCCTCGTCCATAATTCCCCGAAAGTTGGTGTCAACAGTATTTTGTAATTTCCCGCTTCGTGAAAAGTTGGTTCGTAGTATACCAGATGTACCGGCTTGATGGTTGGCTTCGGCTGGGCCTATGAAGTGTAATTGTCCCCATTCTGAACGGTCACCCCATTCAGTGAACAATTGCTCAACTACTCTCTTGGCCTTCCAGATCTTTAGTGGTGGATCTTTGCTATCCTTTTCCGGTTCACTCTGACTGAAAGACCAATCAATGGCATTGGCCCTATTACCACTAACCCACAATCCATTTATATCCAAGTATACATCGAGATCGAAATCTCCGGTGACATGTACAGTTAAGTATGCCGCAGGTATTGATTGTCGGAAAGTAGAGGTCGGTGTAATTGGAGATAGAAATGATAAAACGACTTCGAGTGGTTCTTGGGATTTAGAAGGTGACGGAATATTATAAGTAAGGTTTGTAGTCGACGCATCAAAAGTAGCACCTAGGAACGTAGGATATGATACATTGAAGCTATAAATGGATCAGCCGCTGTTTGCAATTCAACATTGAATGTCAATAGCTTAAAAACTTACCTATCTCCGGATTTACTCAATGAATCGTGAGGCCTACCTAACAATGGATAAACAGTATCGGCGCCTGGTACCGAGGCCAGTACAGAGAATCCAATCTATATAAAATAGAAATTTTAGTGACCGGGCTTGAATGGCGGAAAGATGTTCTTCAATTCCATACCTCTTGACCAGTCCAGAATATAGGCCAATGTTCCCATGGATTCTCTCTTGCATGTCCTAACCAAGCACTCAAATATGGATTTCGAACAATCAATGGTACCACTGGCGGGGTCAATGTAGAAGCTTGTGCGACCGTCGCTGCTATTGCAGATGCAGCCTGAAGGTAATTTGTCCAACGCATGGTTGATATGTTATGTTGCGTGCATGTATGTATGTACTCGTATTCATCAAAGTACCGTCAAAAGAACCAATTCAAAAGAGTCAAGAAGGATTGAAGAGTTCAAATAATATATCGACATTCACAGACTATTCCGACTTCGTACGATGAAGAATAGTAAATAGTTGATGATGAAAAAGGATGGAAAAGTATGGCTTACTGAGCTTTGTTCTCATGGAAAGACAATCATGAGACCAAACTTACTCTTTTACATAGGGAGGTAGGAGCCTTGGTACACCATTCAAGGTACGAAACAACCGGCTCCATCTTAGATTAATCCTTTCCCCTGCTCTAGTATGTTGTCATGAGACGGGAAATGCGGGGGCTAGCGTTGTTTGCATAACTCCAGGTTATCTTATGAAGAGTATCCATAAAATTATGCTTATCCAGAGATCCATCTGTTACGGAGTGCTTGTTCAAGTGGGCTCTCAATTTGAGCTACCTTCAACCACCACCAACACCACCATCACCACCACCAACACCAACACCATCAACACCGCCAAAATGTCTTAGAATTGGTTCAGATGACAACCTTCAAACCCAAGAGGATGAATTGATAGTCAGGGACTAGTCGGCCGCTTGGAAGAGCCGACCATTAAGTACGTTGCTGCATCTTGTCTAACACATGAGTCAAAGACTACCTAGGTGGGTATAAAGATAATATCCAGCTTGGAGTACAGAAAGATCATCTGAGTCAATTCTTTCCTTAGCTACCTACTCATACTCGGCGAGGTGCCAATGAAAGCCAATGCCAATCTCGTGATAATTCTCTTTGACTCATTTCAGCTGGCATTTTAGACAGCCATGGATAGCTTCGTGACCACTACTCCTTAAGGTTACATCCCCCATGGTGACAATCCCTCATCTCGAATTCTTATCTTTTGGTTCTTAATGTCACTTCCTCATTCCCACCATCCACATTATCAACATCCAGCCTGTTTGCAAACACCATCACCAAAAAAACTAATAGCTCAACACCACCATCATGTCTATGAAAGGTAAAATTATCGCCATCACGGGTGGTGCATCGGGGATTGGTCTTGCTACAGCCAAGGTTCTCAGTTCACGTGGTGCCATCGTCTGCATCGGTGATATATCCAATGCATCTCTCGAAACTGCCATGGAGGGTGGTTTCCCCTCACAAGTCAAAGGCTCGATAGTCGATGTTTCAAATCGGAAGTCAGTCGAAGGCTGGATCGATGAGATTGTGAATGAATTTGGGAAACTTGATGGTGCTGCCAATTGTGCGGGGGTTATTGGTAAACACCATGGTGTAAGGAAGATCCAAGATCTAGAAGATGAGGAATGGGACAAAATCATTGCGGTTAATTTGACCGGCATGATGTACTCTCTGAGGGCTGAGCTATCAAAAATTGAAAACGGTGGGAGTATTGTCAATGTATCTTCCATTGCTGGAACGCACGGTGAGTCATGTTCATCACATCAAAATGTTGAAATCCGTGCTCATACAAAGTTATTCAATGTAGGATTTGCGAAAATAGGACCTTATGTCGCCAGTAAACACGGTGTCATTGGCCTCACTCGTACTGCCGCATTAGAAGTCGGTGATAGAAATGTACGAGTGAATGCCTTGGCTCCTGGTCCAATCGATACACCAATGATGGGAAAGGCTCGAGAGACGCATGTACAGGAAGGTGAATACAATTCTATTGTCTTGAAAAGACTGGGTACTGCAGAGGAAATGGCTGCGATTATTGCCTTCTTGTTGAGTGAGGAAAGTTCCTTCGTTACTGGGGCAGTTTATCATGGAGCTGGTGGAATGAGTGCTTGAATAACAGCATACGTTATCTACCAACCGTCGTCAAAAGAAGCAAGATGAAATACTATTGTAATCGAAGCTTTTGAGTTATCTTTGGGGGCAAGGGGTCATAAAATCTATTTTGGAGATGCTGTGGCCAAAAAATATTCTCACTGAATTTCTTTTGGCAGTGTCTGATATTTTTCGAAAATTCTCTCCAGGTTATACCAGTTTATAACCTCATGAACAGGTGCGAAGTCTTGCGGGGATGCTAGCTTTGTATGTATAACTATCATGATTCCTAGATCACCAAAAATCGTATTCAAAAATACAAACCTTCGCTTCGAACCATACTCCGAGAGCGTATCCAAAGAAAGCTCTATACTTCTCGTTATTAAGATAAAGCGGCAGTGGTGCTGGTAATCGAATCTCCCCTTCTTTTTGCCATCTTCCCGTATTTGCGTTGCACTGTATCTTATTGCTAGCGAGAATGTTTCCGTGTCGTCGAATATTTTTCCGCTGTCTCTTTTTGGAAGGGGTTCTTTCATTTCGGATGGTATCTTGTGTTCTGTGTTTCAAACGTGCTGATTATGAGATTGTTACCATGTGCATATTAAACCATTTATTGTTGAAACGAAGCGGACACTGTTATCGTTTTATGCGAGAATAGGAAGATTTACTGGTTAGACTTTGAGGGCTGGAAAAGCTGTGTTTATATAATGGGAAAGGATGTGGCATGTATGAGGAGTTGCTTTTAGGTGATACAATTGCTCTTAAACTTTTTCAGGGGCTTCTGCTCACGAGATATGAATAGGGAATCTCTTGGTGGAACATCGAAGGGTGTTGGATCAATAAAATCCAGGTAGAGTCACATATAAACTACACTCTCTACCAGTCTCTGCTCGGTCTATAACATTTTCAGAACGATGGAGGATCCAAGTCACAGGGTGCAAATTTGAAATGTCAGCACATCATTCGAGTTTGTCACAAAAGGCTCCTTGATTTTATCAAAATGGTATGACAATAAGACTTTATAGTTCGAATTCTAATGATCGTCTTCATTGCCAAGATTCGTAGGTTACTGCTGTCGTTTGTCGTTACTTCTTGAGGATGATTGTTATTCTGTACTTTTAATATGGAATGGTAGTGACAGAGGATGCAGCTGAGAAGTTGCACGAACTGTGTAGATAAAAACTCCACTACTTTCAACAAAACAGACACTCGCTAACGCTACCAAGTCCAGCCGTGGTTTTGAAGATCACATTAAGGGATAAAAGATGTTTATATAGACCCTGACACAGTTCTGCCAATGTAACTACAGCTTGAGATCAGAGGGGTTAGATATACAGGGTATGGGGTATGACAGGGCAGAAGGTGAGTGAGTGAATCATGTACTGCGGAGTGAATTGGAAGGTCGGGATGAATCTGAGATCGTAACAATCCAGCTGTGAGCCAGCGGGTTTGGTATCTAAGACTTCGGCTGGCAGCCCTAGTAGTAGTCACAGAATACTTGACCAAATTCTTACTCAAGAAGCTATGTGCTTCAATATTTGAGCCCATTATCATTTGCATTTTTCCTGAGCGAACCTGAAGCTCCTCAATTCCGGCAATTGGTGGATGAATTTGAATGATCAGAAAATTCGTTTCATCATTTTTTCAAAATTGGCCTTGTGTTATCGCTGGACTCTTTCATCGTTTCATCTGGTATACTCATTATCTGTTCATCAAATCCGTCGAATTTTCAAATCCCAGCCGGATATTTGGGAGCTGGTGGATTTTGAAGCGCTTGGTTTCAGAGTTTCCGCTATCTCCCTTACAGCCGCAGTATTTTTCTCAATCATGTTCATTTCTGAAAAGGATAAACTATCCAAGCGTAACGTAAATATCCAGATACTTTGGCTCTGGATACCTGATCATGACTAACTACCTAGATACATTCTGTGAGGTGGATTGGCGGCTCCCGGGACTACTCACTACTACGTAAGTGCAAAAAAAACAGGGAGTCGGTTAATCGCTATGTGAGGTGTCTGTAACATAGTTCATTGGGTCTTTAGTGTTTAGTTCCTCTTAGAGCTATCCTTGAATGCTCGGGCACAAGAGAATATCTTCGTTGTGCACCCATGGGCTCTGCTTGGCATAAACTGTTATCCTATCTGCATCCGCCGCAAGACAGTGGCTTTCAGAGACTCCTGCTCTAGGTATTTGTTGGAATCATCTTATTACTGCTGTAAAATTAGTCATTGTCGTCGTCGTTGTCAGGAGTAATCATTAAATGTTATTTGCAAGTGGTCTCTCGTATTATTTCAAGCCATCAATTCTCATTAAATTAGATTGGTAAATTCTTCGAGAGAGATGGACTTGATCTCCTACAACTATTCTCTGCATTTTTCGCCGGGCATTGGGAATATTAGGAAGTAGTGTAAGACTTGCTTGGATAGGTAATAAGTAGGTAAGAAAAGCATTGCTCGCTTATTCGAGAAGTCGAAGGATACGCAATGGATTTTTTATCAGATCATATGGATTTGCTGAGAGTATTCACATTATGTGCTACTGATATGTAAGAAGGTAGGAGAATCCATCAGTGGAACTCCAGATAGATCTATATCACGGAAATTCAGAATGAGTGAATACCAGAAATGGAGAAGCGAGCTCATTATTCAAGGAAGAGCTTACTGGTAACTTTTCTAAATCAAGAATACAGTAAGTGATGAGTTAGTTGCACTACGTGGTGCCGACTTGCTCTTATTCTCTATCCCTAGTACGCATTGTAATCTCAGCCAGCTAAAAAAAAATTAAAAAATTGTACGACAAGGACTTTTTTGGCGGGGATCATCGGTTAGGTGCAAGTGTTATCACTGACCTTGATTATCTTTATCTTATTTGATGTTCTTGAGACGGCGTTTTGAGCTAATGAGACGTAGTACTTGTGTACATCAAAGGCTATTTGTGACGAGTTTCATATGTCATACTATGTATGACATTGGAGATAGATATCGGCGGAATCACTTTGCACTCTTCGAATAGTTTGTTCAATTCTATCAAACTTGGTAGACGAGAGGTTTCCATGAACAGCAAGATATATACAAGGAATGGAAGCGTTATTGTGGGTCTCAATTTGGGTAAATCATTCTTTTGCTAGACTATACTTTTGTCAAGTGTTGTATGGACTACCACACATATCCGAAGGATAATAAATTTTGAGAATATACCTGAAAATGAAGTATTCATAACCCTACGCATCCTCCAAGATCTTCGCCGCACCCTTCTCCGCAACTCCATACACAGTCCCCTGCAGATGCGCTCCAACAATCATCGGAATCACACTAGCATCCACTACTCTCAACCCCTTCACCCCATAAACTCTCAATCTCTCATCAACCACACCACCCAATTCTCTCGGCAACATCGATGCAGTGCCCGAATGATGATGTTCAGTTGCTACTGATTCCCTCACATATTCTTCAATTTCTGCTTGGGTTGTTACACTCGATCCTGGATATGATTCTGTGAGATTGATTGCTTGGAGAGAGGAAGTGGTACGCATGAGACGCGTGTAGTTGAATGCGACGGTAAATTGAAGCAAATCTATCGGATTGGAGAGATAATTTGGATTTAGGAGAGGGAAATCGAAAGCAGAGGTTGAGGAAATGGAGACGCGGCCACGAGAGAAGGGGAGTTGGATGGCTGGGATGATTATGCCGTCGCTAACGATCATCTCCATGTGGGAGGTGTTTTTGGAGAACAGGTTGGATGCGAGGATTTGATGTTGGAGTTTGTAGCCAGCGAGAACGGACGAGGGGGTAGATGGGAGGAGGTATTGGGATACATTTGTGGATTGGGAAAGAGATTGGAGGGTAGAGATGGTGGAGGGGGAAGAACCATTTAGGATTGTGGCGAGAGGGAGGAAAGCAAAGACGTTTGCTGAGGCAGTTGTGAAAGGCCCTGATAATTTGTTAGTGTGGCTATACCTCGAATAATCATAGAAAATGGTATCGCACCTTCCCTTTTCTCGTTATACAATTCAAGCTGCTCCGCAAGCCACGTAGCATTTGTACTGAAATTCCCAGTTTGAATCGCGATATTTGGAGCTTTAAATTGACTTAAATCAGTAAACCATTCACAATCATGTTATAGATTGACACAAAATATAACAACGTACCATTGTTAACGGTAGTAAGCAATAAGTGATCTTGGTAATTCTCGCCAACACCTTCACTCTCAACCACAATTTCAATTCCTAGGCCTTCCAGCACATCACGTCGTCCTATTCCAGAGATCTGTAATAATTGCGGAGTTCGCTGTGCTCCGGCACTTAGAATCACCTCTTTCTTAGCATTTACCGTGAATTTCTCTTCATTCACACCAGCTGCATATTCTACTCCAGTGGCTCTCGGTTCTTTCGAGCTTGTAGATGAATAATTAGAAGGGGTAGAGAAGAGAATTTTGGTAACAGTATTAGAAGTCAATACATGTAAGTTAGGACGAACAGTCAAATTAGAGCTTGGGGGCAAAAAAGATTGAGATGCACTGCGCTCTTTGGTATCGGGGGTAATAGAAAGGATGATGAAGAACACGCCGGCATTGAGACCTGCGAGGGAGTCTTTTATGTATGAGATGCCGAGTTCGAAGAAGGCGCTTAAGAAGTTTTCTGGGAGGTTTTAGATTGGATTCTTTCATTCCGGCAAAAATTGGTAAGAAGAATTGCATAAGGGGATACTTACTAGTACTAGGCCAAACGAAATTCGGATATCCATTTTGGAGAAAACCATTTTCTCCATGGACGTTCGCATCGTATTCAATGCCCCAATCCTGCACTCCCTCTTCATCGGGAGGAGTAAAATGTTCGCTTTTCTTGAAGTAAGGGAGCAGACCTTCCCAATTCCATCCAGCATTTCCAAGTTCTTCCCAATGGTCATATTCAGCTGCATTACCGCGCATGAATGCCAACCCATTTATGGCAGAAGAACCACCAATTACTTTCCCAGCCGGAAGATCAATCGATCGATTTCCGAGGTTCAATTGCGGAACTGAGGTTGTGTTCCAATCATAGATTGTGCCACGAGGACCGTTACCAAGTACAGGGAGATTGGCGGTGGTTATTAGAGGGACTGTTATGAAATCTTCATTTTTATGACTGAGACGATGTGAGTACGGGTAAATGTCATGAGAATTTGAGGTCGTACAAATTTCCTGCCTCGATCACGAGAACGGTTGTATCTGGATCAATGTTAACAAGAGTGAAATGACGAGTTTTTCTGAGGTACTGGACTTACTAGCATTTTTGGACAAACGATTTGCAACGACGAGTCCACTTGTTCCTCCTCCTACTATCACATAATCGTAAATTGGTAGGAGATCTGCTGATCTTTCGAGAACCTTCCCGGAGAACACTGGGTAACATGCCACATCATGAAAGATGGATAAAAATAACACCAACGAGAATGACAAATACATCTTGTCCGATGTGAAAAACGTCAGTGATCAGAAAGGGAGTGAATGATGGGTACCTCGCGCAGCTCATATACAATTTAAACTTTTTGTGTTGATACTATATCAATTGTATATCAATTGTATATCCGAATAAAGATCTGCATCATAAAGATACTTTGACGATTGTTGTCTGATCATTGGTTGAGACATGGCTATTCATCCCCGATTGGTCGCTGACTGCAGCAATCTAGAACCTTAGTGTCGATTAGGAGCGAGCTGAAAGATTACCGACAACCCCAGACACAGACATGGTGGGGCAATATTAACAATCTTCAGTAATTCCGAGGTTCGGTTACCATTTAACACTGGAGAAACGATGATATTTTACGATTGATTTTTTCGCTTGGGTATTTCTTAGCTTCGGAATTATCGCCAGAAACATCGACATATACGTGCTTAGGACATGAAAACAGCGACGGAAATTACTAAAACTATAAACGATTGACACAACAATGATAGGCAGCTACTGCGGATAGCATTATCGAATGGAACACGGAACTGAATTCTCTGTTACGCATGACTAAAGTCTGAGAAAGGAGCGGAGAGAAACATGCAAAGAGCCTTCTGAGCCTCATTCTAGGTAACGAGAACAAAAAACGAAACGCCAGTATACAGGAAACAAGAAACAAGAAACGGAAACCTAGACCCTGCCCGTATTGCAAAGTTTGCAGTGCTTTGACAAAAGCCCTTCCAAACCCATCGTCAGTACTCAAATAAAGTGCTCGTCTAAACAAAGTCTGCGATAATTATCGCTTCCATTTTATCAGCCCAAGCAAATGTAAGGTTGGAGTCTTCGTCCTGACAGAAGCCAACATAACCACAAAACTTGCGACCCGTTACAGTTGTAAGGTCATTATTGGGATCATAGTTGCGTCAGACCAGTCGCAAATTTCGTATATGAGTGCGTAGAGGATCACTGGTCTGTGTACTGACTAGAACCGGTTGTAAAGCTCAAGTCTCGTTTCTTAATGAATATATCGCATTTATCACTGCCACCAGTGAAGAATTCGCAAAGTCCACCGATGAAGCTAAAACCTCGACGTGTTTTGAAAGATGCTTGGCTGGTTGCGTTTTGGTTGGTGGTCTTTGGAATGCCATCACGTTTCTTCTTGTCAGGGGAGCTATCGACACCAGAAGAATGATCTCCAGATACACACGAAAAGTTTCCTGCCTCACCCTCTTTACAATTAAGTGAAACGACAAATTTGCCGCTCTCATCTACGGAGCAATCTAAGCTATCGCATACACATATGAGATCATTGCTAGTTGCAACTTTATCATCATTCTTAACACAAGTCAAGGTACCAGCAACCGCTTCTATGATGGCGAGATTCTGTTGGATGACTGCTCTGCCTGTGGGGTCCTTGTGATTAATGAGAGTATAGTTCCATCTCGATTGAAATTGAAAACAAATGACCCGGGAGACATCGCGAGAACAATCAACGATGAAAGCGAAAGAAGTTTATACATTGAGTAAGGATGGTTTTTGCGTTTTGGTGGGTGTTGGTAAATAAGTAGTTAGTGATAGCGAGTAGATGGATTCGATGGAGTCAAGTTGAGCAAATGTATTTGGTGGAATATGAGGATCAGATGTGAAGGATGAGTCTCAGAGTCTGTGTATTTGTATTTGTTTTTGGTTGAATTCGTGTCCTGGGACTATCTCAAGTACATATAGGCAATTGGGACTCACTTGAAATTCGTTTCTATATTCAGAATCTGGTGCAGCGGCAGCCAAGATCATTTGATCTGGCCGGTAGTCCTCGTCAGCCACTTTTGGCAGCATAAACAAGGTCGCAGCAAAGTTCAATACGGAATTATCCAAGCATAGAAGAGCGATTTTTGGCATTGGAAGAATTCAAAAATAAATACGACACGCTGGAGCAAGCTAGCATACCTGGTATTCCCTCCTATAGAAAGAAGCGGGTCAGCATTGAGTTGAGTTTCACTGATTATGGGTTGATGTTTATCGAGACATTATGAATCGAATGATGGCATGCTTCTCGATGTTGACCTCATAGCTCGTAGAAGACAATTAGCACTTCTAGGCGGTTAGCGCAGTAGTGGTTGAGTCAAAAATCGAATCTAGCGGTAGATGAAGAGCGAGTGCTCCTGAGAAGGTCAAGAAGGTGATAAAAATAAATACAAAGTAGAGAAAGCGAGAGCTGCCCCGTTGATCGAAGATATTTACTTGAGCTTCTAATTGCAATTCTTTGAAACGTATACATCAACAGAGTGCTCCCCATTGTGACTGTAAAGCCAGGTTGAGGTGATTCATATATCGCTTGTGAATTTACTCAATTGTTCTTGCGAAGAATAGCGCTGAAACACTCAATTATATCCTTAAATCAAAAGAGACAATTTAAGGCGGTGAATTATAGCTTGCAGTTGGCCTTTAAAACTATTCTTGGGTGGTACTTTCTAGTATTGTAATATAGGGATTCGCTATTCAGCAATCTAGCAATCTTGTTACTATTGTAATATCTAGGATAGAAATTCAAATGCCGCTGTGATTGTCTGATTTCAGCACTATGAATAGAAACACAAACATATGGATTATATGCCACACTGCAGCAGCAGAAGTCGAGATCTCCCTTCATTTCCGAGAAGTTGGTGAAGTCGAACTAAAATAAACGTGCATCAAGACCTTTTATAACCTGCAGGCTATTCGCGACACCTAAGGCCTCCGAGTCCATATTGAAAATATCTCAAAATTGACAGCAGAGAAACAACCATCATGTGTTCTTTGTCTCGCTTGGGAAGGCCGTGATGTTGGTAATTAGGGCTGTTATATTGACTCTGCTGTGCGGCAAAGTTTTTGCCAAATGTTGGATCAAGTAGCAAGAACCGCAAGAACTTTCTTCTGGACGGAGTGCCAAATATATTGAAAACAGTGTGATATGATGATCGAATAAAAAACATGAGCATATCTGGGTTCTAGGAGAGCAAGTAGATCTTAGTTGCCCTCTTCATGGAACCAAGACTAGGTCACATCTCCAAGACGAGTGAGAACACTAACAGGATTGATAACAGTATCTCCATATCTATGACTATACAGTTCATCATCTTGTTTGACGCATTGGCTGGTCAAGTGAGGCGTTGAGAATCTGCCACAGTGATATATGATGATTGTTCGCAATCTTGATGTCGTTACTGCATCTCTACATCTGGAGCAAAAAGTATTGCCGTCTAGTGCGAGTTGATGTCAAAGTGTGCAATAATCAATAATCCGAATTAACAATGAATTCGAATGGGTAAAATTAATTTTCAGCGTTTAATTTTGAAAGCATTGATATTTTGCACACATCGATGACGGTGACGGTGATATCAGGTCATTCTTATCGCCGCAACCTTGTCTTATCTGGGGAAACTCTGAACACCAGGTCAACATCCTTCAACATCTTCACCCTTCAAATCCACAACCATGCGAAACTTACCTGCCCTAGTCCGCGAGAAATTTAAAGCAGCTCAAGCTGCTGGCGATATCACCTATTTCCAGACTCAATTGACCATTTTGCATTGCAATTCGCTGCCGGTAAGAGCTCAATGTGGCTGTCCCTCAATTAGCTATACATACTGATTGTTACAGTTTCAACTGCGATATTCCCCAACGTTGGCACATAAACCTAAGGCCGACAAGCCCAAAGATCCCTCTCAGAAGCCGTTCAATCCATTTCTAAAACCGTCCCCGTCGTTGCTCGTAACAGAGTTTGGGTCGCACAACATCGTACTCAATAAATTTCCTGTCATACCGGACCATTTCATTCTTTCGACGAAAGAGTTCGAAGAACAGACACACTTATTGGAGGAAGCTGATCTTGAGGCGGCATATAATTGTTTAGAATTATACCATGCGGAAGGAGAAGAATTGTTTGGATTCTTCAATTCAGGGGAATACTCGGGAGCATCGCAGCCCCATAGACACATCCAATTTCTTCCAGTCGAATCGATGAGAACGGGACTAGAAAAAGAGTTGGAATGGTCTCCATTGGTCGACCGTCTCGTTGAAATGCCCGCGCCAGGTAATAATTGTTCTGTATCCTTTTGTATACATGGCTAATACTCATGCAGAGCTCCCATTTACATACTTCGCCGCGTCTTTCCCAAGCAGTGTTCAACCGTCAGATTTGCATGCAACCTACTTGAAATTGCATCAGAAAGCTTGCCAGCTGATGAAAACTACACCTTGTAAAGATCACAAGGAAGCGTCGCCCATCAGCTATAATTTGGGAATCACCAATAAATCTATGGTGTTATGTCCACGAACGTCGGAAGGTCTTGAGATCAAGGATACTGATGGCAAAATCGTCGGATCTGTTGCATTGAATGGCACTCTTCTAGCGGGTACACTACTAGTTAAGAGTGAGATTGAATGGGATGTTGTTCGTAAGGACGAGGGAATACTCGTTAATGTTCTCAAGGCAATAGGAGTACCTCTGCATAACACAGTTGATTCTCAACACACAAATTCTGAAAATCTCGACAAACCATTAGACGGGAAGATATAAAATAGATTTGATATAAGCTAAGATATCTGTTTATTAAGCTATAATCATAACACAAAGCCAGCCTAGCATTACCTTTTAAATTGGACGCCCAATCAACTGACTCTCGATCACTCGCTGGTATTGTTTTCGACGTCAAGTGGTTATCCAGACCCGCCGATTCACGAATGTATTGTGTCTCTCATTACTTGGGTAACCATTCTATCCGATATTATATTGAATTATGTCTTAGGCTTCGATTATTCTTCTTTTCAAATCTTGGTATAATCTTATACCTTCTTGTCATCATTCTTAAGCGCAATCCACCGTTTTCGACAAGTGGCATAACCAAAATGATATGATCCTCCATTATCATAGATATACTGAGCGACTTTTTTCCATTGAGGCTCTGAACCCTTACTCGTACTGCGCCCAAGCTTTTTCACGGCCTTGCTCAACAATTGTATCTAAAAACAAGTATTAGCCTCATTGTCCCCGAGAACTAAAGAATCTACACACATCATTGTCCGTCCATTTCGGCTGTCTCACTCGATCTTTCTTGTCTTTGGTTAACGTTCGAAATCGACCCCTGAGGGTGGATTCTGCAGCGGCAAAATTTCCATTGGATCGAATTGCCTTATATGACATACCCGCTTGTCTTGAGCGAATCAAAAAGTCGTTTTGTTCAAATCTAGTAAGAAGTGGCGTGTTCCCGATAGTTGACGAAGGTTTACCATCAAGAAGATCATTTTTCGGCGTAAGTGGTACATTGGAATGCTTGATTTCAAAGTCATTTTTAATAATTCTATGACTTCGAGTATTGCGAATTGCACTAATGGGAGTGCTAGCACTTGGGTGCCGATTTTCCACCGGCCTGTCTGTGGCTGTTTCATCTTCATCGAACCTCTTGGAGATTATATCATCGTTTCTGGCCGGTCTCGAACTTGGGAGCATGTGTCGAGAGCGTGATTGAGGGATGTGGTCTTCAGTTAACCCTTCAGCTGAAGGACTTGCGGTATAGTCCGAAGTACTTGTAACAACAGTGGACTCTGGTGAAAATGCCGAGGCTTGGCTCGATGCCCTGGTGGTGGTAGAGGCAGTGGAAGTAAAAGATGCACTAAGGTTCAACGCTCTAGGTTTGATCGTACTCGGAATGAAAGGAGCTGGCGGCCATTCACTCTCCTTTACCCACCCATCATTCCAAGTCTCCTCAAAATTCTCTAGCTCATCATCTTGTGGTCGAGGAAGGCCATGAGGAAAGATTGGAATGTACGATGCTACCATGCCATTCAAATGATCATTGATTTTATTCATAACATTGCCATTCTCAATCGACCACCAATCACCCAATATGCCGTCGTGCGTAACAGACCCTGAAGCAAGAGACTCGTATGTATCGAGTCTGTCTGTATTGGACTTGTGGACATCATCATAGTCTATACTTGGAGTTGTGTTGTCATTGCTGAAACGATCGGTGGTTGAAATATTGCCGGAGAAAGATCCGTGTCCCATTGATAATGGTGTCGAGGTCCTGCAATTTTGGAACGCTGTAAAACTTCCTCGGCCCTGGTCTATACCCATCTGGGTGTAATCTACCCCAAGTGTTGAATCTGGACCATAACCTTGCGTCATGTTAGGCGCTGGATGTAAAGGAATGGAATAAGAATGCGCTTTGGAAGGATGCCGTTGTGGATGTAATACTGCACATGTTGGCGTTTTTGGCGAACTGTTATTGCCTTCCCGGTTCTCAGAAATTGGCGTCGTATCTTGACAGAGCTCGCCACTTTCATTTTGAAACTGCTCAAAGTCAGTTCATGATAAGTCTTTGTCAGTCTCTGTCTACTTACCAGCGGAAAATTTCTGTGGTCTCGAAAGCTTTCAAATTTTTGCTCCCAGCCTTTCGCAGCCAGTGGGTTGACGACACTGAAAGCGTTGCTATCCATCTCGAATAATGGTTCTGGCGTTAAGGGGACTACACAATGATTTGTGAAATAGAATTCGATGCTGTTCGACATGATTCGGGGATCCGTGTGGTTTAACATCATTTCATTCTTGACCGCTATCTTATTGCTAAGTACGTTTGCGATACATACATCAACAACGAGATGCACTTAAACAAGTCGAATTACTCATTACTTCTGCATATGCTACACATGCAGGAATGATGTAGATACACCTAAAGAATAAGGCGGTCAAGCTACAAACTGGGCACTAGATTCTCTCCTTGCTATTTTGGTGAAGCGGCGAGAAACTTTTGGCAACCAACCAATATCTCTACCGGATAACGAGTGTTAATCTTTCCCCGCAAAGTTCTCAACCAGACACAAGAAGGGAAATATGAAGGAACGCTTACATTAGACGTCGTTATATATGATCCCATCCACAAGACAAGTGTTGATCAATATATGCAACAATCGTGAAAGCTATGGCCTTATGCTTTATATTTCATACATCGGGAAATAATAACATTGACTACAATGATCGGGCCGAGCGCGATTTCATTAGATTATCAACTTCCAGAGACTCCGAAGAAGGAAGCTCAGATCAGTGTCATGCCCTTGATTGCATTTTCTTTTACTTTTGTCATTGCTCTCTTCTTTACAATTCCAAAGGGCTTGAAAACGCTGCAAATATCTCATTATGCCCCGTAATTCAGATCATTTAATGCCTAATTCTCTTACTGCGCGTTTCCGTAGTAGTACCCACATACGTTCACCCTTTCTTGGTAACGAAGGAACCGGGACGGATACTTGCATACTTCCTACCGAACTCAGCGGCACAAACCCTTAGTAGTTGACAGAATCTGAAATTGTTTGACGTTTTGATCGTTATGATAATGAGAGCTAATACAAATGTTTGCCGCACTTTACTACTATCATCTATTTCTCCTGCCAATCCGCCACTAATACTACCCAAAACTGCCTTCGCACTGTCATCATCTCGCAAGTATGTCTAACTAGGAGGTATCTATAGAATGTTTCGAAAGGTGAATATTGCGCGAAGACTAAAGACTGCAAAAGTGTTAGTCGGCATAAGCCGGTGGCTTGTTACACAAGGACTTTCAGTTCCACTTTTTAAAGTCTACCTGCATAGGAACCTTTCCTGCCATGTTATGCAGAACCCTTTACACACTAGGCAATTGCATTTTGACAAGTCATTTCCGGCCAATATTTTCATTCTCCATATTATATGTGCTATACAAGACGATGGATGCCAGCCAAAGATCAGCAATCATTTACCTTAGCTAAAAAAGGACTATGATGGAGCCGCATCGCACCGTTACCTTGCAAGGATTGGTACAGACCCTTAGTTCTCCATTCACTGAGGGATTTATATCCATCATATCATCTGTCGTATTCGCAAACCTAGGCTAGTTGCTTAGTTTTGCCATCGGACTCGAAGCCACATTGCAATTTTTATTAAAGATATGTTTGGTTCAGAGAGTGGTCAATGGTCTAAGGATTTATTAGCTTCACGTGGCAAAAGGACAAACATTCCACGTGTGGTAGCTTTTACAGACTGACCAGGATCCCTTGTGCGGATGTTCGCATACACCAAGCGCACCCCTTTCTACACGGTGGAAGTTGCATGATTAACATTGCAACATCATTTTTCGGCGGATATTCGTTAGTGGAAAGCGCGGCTAACTTTTAATACTAATCGTTCATCTGTAGAAGTTTCTTGCACCAGAAGAGATTCATGCAAGATAGTGACTTGGCAAGGATTGGCACATCTGTTAGCTGCCACTATGGCCTTGTAAGTTTTGTGTTACCTGGTCACTTGGTGACGCGTGCCTCAATTTATTTCCATCGACGATGGTACCCGTCAAACTTGTTTCCTGGTCAGTTTTAACGACTACCTGGTCAGACTTGTAGAGAGGATACCTTCGCGAGTTCCCATTTCAAGCGTCAAACTCTGATCTACCAAGCATGATATTGAGAATATTATTATTCTCAAGCGCGTAGTTGCCGACCTTCTTATTACTCTTTAGATGATATGCATATGTTCCCCTGCGAGTTGTTCCAGCTAGGGGAAATCTGGAAATGATCCGGTACAACCTTGGGCAGATTAGAGGTTGAAGGTAGATAGCCAAAATGACAAATCATGGAAACATAATTGATTGCTTCTTTCAAATCAAACGGAACCAAGGATAAAAATGGATAAGAAAGGCGCGGATGATATCAATCGCTTCCCATAATATGGGAAGACATTCTATACCTCTGACAAAGATAGAAGTTCAAGTTTGCCGATACAACCACACTCAAATGCCGATATTCAACTACGCATCACATATCTTGAACAAATACCTTCCAAACGTGGCTTGGATAAGTAAGTATCAGACACCCTTTGCTACAACGTCGGAAAGTAGGAGAAAACCCGGGAAATCAAAGGGCATGAAATAGCCGGCAAATGGCTGTGCGATGCGCTTCGCAGCGTAGTTGATGGTAGGACAAGAAGGGATTGTGTGTAACACACTTTTGTCTCCTGGTTGTCTGGGTTGAGGCGTCGCCAAAGAGTTTATTCCGTTGCTAGGAGAGCTTTTTTTAAGTGAGCTCTGAGGATTACTGTCCATAGTTAGGTATCACCAGAGCTCAATGGTGTTCGCTAGATGAATCTGTAGAAAATTGAGATATACTACTATGAGCTTCGTGCACCTTAGCCATAACCATATCCACATCCATCTGTCAACCATAGCAGACCAAATCCTCTTTTCCACCTTGCCACATTCCGAGATACAAATCCCTACAATTTCTTAACAGCGGCCTGGGAACTTGGGACGACCCTCCACTTCGTCTGCTGCCTAGTGATTAGAAAATCGTGAAATATGAATAACTGACCTAATATCCATATCCCGCGCAAGTAACATGATGATTAACCATACATTTCCTCACTACATCTTCATCGTGAGATATTTCTCTGTTACCTTGAGCTTCCTAGCTCGAGCTCTTATTTCTTGTTTCAGTGTTATTCTTTTCGATTCTTCTTTCGGCTCTCTTCATCGATACTTGGTGGATAGGTAGGTAGTTAGTTAGCTGAGGTAGATAGATGAGTAGATTGAGAACACTGATACGCAATGAAAAGCGAGTAATTAATTCAAATCCAGCTATTCGAAATCTAAGCCACGCATCTCTCTCCATCTAGTACAGTTTGGGTTTTACACTTTCGTGTGCTTTCACTTGCTCTCGCTTTCACATTGCTGCATTATCTACCTTCATCTTAGCACCTCAGATCTTATTTCATATTGAAATTTCTCTCATTTACCAAAGTGAATATTCTATAATTACTTTAGTATCGACCCTTAACTACCTAGATAGTCAACTCATAGCTACAGCCAGCCATAGCTATATCATATATTAGCTGATTACTATTACATGTACCCCAAATTCCTCACACAATCTACCCTTTCATCGCAAGAACAATATTCCCACCCTTAAATCCAGTTCCCATCCCTCATACCCATACGGTTCTCAAAACTTTCCGGTGAACTCCCACTTCTGTTCTCTCTCATTTTCATAGCATTAACTTCATAATCGCCAGAGACAGTTCCATCATCATAATTCACTCCAACATTTTCTCTTCCGCTTCCTTTACTTAGATAATGATCACGATGTAAAGTCACCAATTCCACTGCGCCGCCATCTAATCCCCTATCTACATCCCATGCATTGTCTTCAGTTTCCTGTTCCTGCTGGGGTAAGTCATCATCATCTTCAGTCATACTCAACTCCATCATTTCCGCCATTCTTTCCGGAGATAGCAATCTATTCTTCAAAACTTCTCTCTTTTCTGGTGTTGGACTCCAAAGTCTTTCGATTATAGTTTCCTTGGCGGGAGAGGGAGTACGCCGCATCCACTCCGATTCTTTTACGGGCGAGGGTGTACGCCGCATCCACTCTGACTCGGTGAGGGAAAGTGTGCCTGTGTTATCGTCGCTCGCTGTGCTGATATATGATTTAACGGTGATGGAATCTTTTCTTGGGGGGTTTTCAATGGCGAGGTTTCGTCTATTGAATGCCTCAGCTTACGTATCGTGACGTTTGGAAGGGAAAAAGAAGGTTGTATCGTTGATGTTGAGATAATTCCTTGTCTCCTGGACTATTTGTCAAGATTGTTAGTACTGTTAGTACTGTGGTTTCATCCGAATTTGGACGAGGTAAGAAAAAATTGTGGTCAGGAATTAGACAGGAGAAAAATGAAATGGGTGCAATCAAATTGGAATCATACATCAGTTCTAGAAGGTGGTGGAGACAAAGCTGATAAACCTTCAAAATTATATTCCTCATCAAATTCGTTTTCTTCACCATCATCCTCGTATTCAATAGATATCTCAGAAACATCCGAGTCAATAGATACTGCAATTGCAGTTCCAATAACTGGCTCGGGAGATGGCTGATCTCTATCAATATAAGAAAGTAGAGAAGGAGTAACAGATGGTGCACGAGATGTTGCTGATGCACGGGAAGCTGCTGATGAAGTTCGACTTGGTATATCAGGTAACGGTCTAGTATTGTACTCACTAGCCAACCATTCATGTGGAGATGTCGATCCAGCTCCATCAATGGATAGCGCTGAAAATTTAGTAATTGGCATGATTTTTCTCTCGATATCTTTCTCTCCAGATGATGATATGTAAAAAGGATCGGGCTCCGTGGTGGAATCGGAAGAAACAATAAATGCATCTCTATGATCCTTCTTGGCCGTTAACAATGAATCTAGTTGATTTGTATCCAAGATTCGAGACATCCAAGGTTGTCTTTCGTCAGGATCATCAGGACTGCCGCTAAGATCGAATGGAGGGTAGGCAGCTCGGAGAGAGTCATGTACCTGATCGCTAGTATAAACTTTGCCCAAGTATTTTGTTGGAGTATGTGGTGATCCGGTTGGCTGGTCTGGTTGTGGTATAGTTTTACATGAGGCCATTAGATGCCTAGCCATAGCTGGGACCTGGGCTTCAAGAATTCTAGGATGGTTAGGAGGTATAAGATGCAACTTTTCCAGATGTTCCCAACTTCTG